AACATTTTCAATAAATTACACAAATAATAACAGTTCTAAAACTATTAATTAAAAAAAATAAACAATAATGAATTAGGACATACCTGAATAGTATTACTGATGTATGGTTTGGTCTAGAATAACATCTTGATAAACATCTTGCATTATTACGATTATACATGAAATTAATATTTTTGTTTGATAAATAGCTTCTGCCTTTAAGTATTTAATATAAACGATACGAAATAATAAAATAAATATACACACAAAACGGAAAATTTTGCAATGATAAAGTGGTAAAGTGGCGGTAAAACATTCAGCATCAGCCAGAGATGGGTTAAGTGAAAGGTTTTTCAACTAAGAACCTCTGAAATGTGAAAAAGTTTTGCTGGGGGAAGGAAAAGCGCGCGCAACAATTTTTAATTGTCAATAATTTTAATTTCACTTATTACATAATTATTTATTGGATTTAGTTAATTAGTTTACTAATTAAGGGCACTGTTACACAATTTCATGCACGCAGAAGCATTTGGATTAACGCACAGTGAACTTTAATGAAAATTATTGCAGAAGCAGCTTTACTTCAGTGGACAAAATTTGTTTTGGTGGGGGAACAGAGATGGGTTAGTACTGTATATGAAGTTCTCAACCCTGCTTGCATTTCATTTTACCTCTTTCCTTCCGAACCTTGGTGTTCACAAAATGTCATTCGATTGTGAATAGAATTCCGCTTTACTGATAAAGTTAAATAAGTAAAATAGTGATTACAAGTGAAACTTATTTTATTGAAAAATAATATTAAGCTTTGAATAATTTTTTCTGCTATATAATTCGAAAAACTGACGACCACGGAAAATTAAGTAAGTAATCAATTTTTTTAAATTACGAATTTGAGGTTATTTTTTTTGTCAAAAATGAATTTTACGATTTTACCTATATTATTTAATTATTATTATTGGTAACATTTTAGGTTATGTTTTATTTTCTGTCGAAAATAAATGTTATCTAGCATTTATTAACATATTATTTCTATAAAAATCACATTTATTAAAGTAAAACATGAAAATTACAATAAGCACTTGACTTATAATTTTAATTTCATTAAAATTATAATATTTTTTTCTATATTGATTCTATTTTGTGGATTTATTTTTTAAATTCCAATTTTCAAGGATATATAGAGGAAATTAATTTTTTTTTCCGAATTATTCTTTTCTTCTAATCAATTTTTATATTACTAGAGGAAAAAGACTTCGTTTTGTATTCGTATAATATTAACATCGTTATATTTATAATTCTTTTGCTAATAAACTCATCCAAATGAATATATTCTTAGAATTTCAAGTATTATATGCATTCTCACTATATTTTTGCATTCTATTCTTGCAAAACAAAGTTTTGTCTGTTATGTGAGGAAGATTAAACAAAAAGAAAATATTATTCAATATTTTTTTTTTTTTAATCCAATATGTACTCATTTTACAAAATTCTCCTTACTATTATTAAATGTCAATAATGAAATATTTATTTATATAATTATTTATTTCTTCGTACAAAAATGTGTTTACGGAAAATATATGTATACAATTTTAGAAAAAAAAACTTAAATCTAAATAAAAATAATTATTATTACTTATTATAATAATTATAATGAATCACAAAAATCGGGGCCTACGATTTTATCCAATAAAAATCGTTAGAATTTTGATTTTTGAAAGAAAATTTATTAGATATAATTATTATTTACACGAATTTTCATTTTTCGAATTGGAATTTGACACAATTTCTCTTTAAACGAATTTTTATTGTACAAAATTTTTAAAACGCAGAATTTTTATTTGTCCGAAATTGCAAATGTTCGAACAGACAATCATCAGAAAAATTTCGGCGCGTTTTTTTGAAATTGACCAATCAGAAATTGTCAAGAAAATCGTGATTGGTCAATTTTAAAAAATGCGCCAAAATTGATTGTTTGTTCGGCCATTTGCAATTTCGGATAAATAAAAATTCGTTCAAAGAGAAATTTTATCAAATTCTAATTCGAAAAGTGAAAAAATTCGTCTAAAAAATAATTATATCTTATAAAATTCTTTCAAATCAAAATTTTAACCAATGATTTTATGGGATAATAATAACAATAATTGAAATATTAATAATAATAATAATAATAATAATAATAATAATATAATAATAATAGCAATAATTATTATTATTAGTATTATTAGTATACACTGAAAAAAAAATTTATTTGATTCAAATATTCGGTTACTTGATTATTATCAAATAAATATTTACTTGAACCAAATAATTTTTATTTGAGCTAATTAAATAGTATTTGTTTCAAATACAGAAATTATTGATCCAAATACAATTTAATTCAAATAAAAATTATTTTGTCCCAAGTAAATATTTATTTTATAATATTCAAGTAACCGATTATTTGAATCAACTAAATTTTTTTCTCAGTGTAACAATAGTATCCAATGGTTCGACAACCCGAGGGAAAAATTAAAATAAAATAAAATTGATAAATGAATGCCAAAAAAGACGTTTAAAATTAAGAGATTAACAAAACTGAATTCATCACCTTTTGTTCCCTCATTCTTCATCGCTTGATCCGTTAATTTTTACATCTTTTTTTCTTCCATCATATATATATATATATATATATATATATATATATATATATATACAGAGAAAGAGGGTATATATGTATATATATTCAAGAGAGCCGTTCTGACTCGCATCGCAGACATAGAGACTCCGCCTTGTTTGGGCAATTCTCCCTTTTGTGTTGATTTTTTTTCTTTCTCCTTATTTTTTTTTCTTCTCGGGGTGAACAGCACAAAAATATCTCTTTTTAATTGTATAAGGTGAAAAATGGCTTTTATAAAATAGTCGACACAAATTCTCATAAATATTTAAAAAAAAAAAGAGCAGTAGTGCAAGAAATGATTCTCGATATAAAGGGGGTGTCAGGGTAGAAAGAACCGTGTCAAAAACGATTTGCTTTCGGGAAGAGATCATCGAGAAGTCGCTGAGAGGCCTTTTTTTTTAAAAAAAAGTATGTCCTAATAACGTATAGCAGCGAGAGAGGAGACTCGTGCCGTGAGAAACAAGGCATTTTCTGCTGCCGTGTGTGTTTTATATTTATATACACATATGTATATATAGTATACATATTGCTGTAGCTGCTGTTCCTCTTGTATATTGCTGACAGAGCAGAGGCTACACCAGGGGAAGATTTCTCTACTCTTCTCGTTCAACGGAGAAGTCTTTGCGGTCGAATGCAAAGACCAAAGGGAGACCGGGACCAAAAGGTTGACGTTAAAAAACTGGTTCCTTATAACATACATACAAACATATATATAGAAACTTGTTGAAGGCAAAAAGAATCCGTACCGGCAGCCGCATAATACCGAAATTACCCGAGATATATCCTAAATCCACGTGGACTTGTTCAAAAGACCTCATGTGGGTGTATTACCCACCTGTGTTCGACATGATCCATTTCCATCTTCTATATACATACATTTACTTAAATTAATTTCTTCTTTTTGTATGAATTTGTTTTGTTATTAAATAACTAATTTCCTCTAATTTCATTTATGATACTGCAAAATTTACAAATCCCCCACAAAAAAGAATTGCTGTAAAAATATACATAACTGCAATAATACGCATGATGAGTGATAAATACGAAAATAATAAAGAGTAATAGAACCGTAGAGGTTGCGAGAGTATATAATTCTATAATTAGACGTGCACAAAGGGAGGAGATGAGGATCCGAGAGTTTACACACCCACTGACATAAATCGTTTTTCTACTAGGGCAGGTAGAACCTGCCTGTCACGCTCAAGGGTCCAATGATCTACGGTGGTAGCCATACAGACATATATGTGTGTATGTGTTAGTATGTATATATACATATGGAAAAAAAGTGATCGACATGGGATCGTCGCACGATTTTAAAAAAATAATGACTTTTAAAAGAGTCAGAAGACTAACGACCAATCAACTAAACAAAGTTGCACTTTCTTTCATGGGACTATTGATTTTTGGAAAATTAAAAAAACGTATTTAAATTGATAATTATAACAAAATTTCTCAGTTTAACACTTTGTTTACACACTCGGTTATTTATACTTTATACAAATTATAAGCACGTTTTTTTAATTTAATTGTTCTTTTTGTTTCAGATTACTATAGACACGAAAGAGGATATAAGAAAAAGTGAAGCGGTTTTAAAAAAAAGGGTTGTTTTATATTAATGATGAATAATAAATAACATTAAACAAAAAAATAATTAGGTCCACTTTTTAAAAAGTGCGCCATTACACTCTTGGGCAAACGAATTTTACTCCCTGGGGCATATTAGTTCGATTTCGGAAATTCAAAAAGATGACAGAATTGAAACGGTTTGTAGTTATTGCTTAAAATTAATGTAAATTTTAATTATGGATTAATTTTTAACGTCTTACGATTATACGCCTAATTGCGTATTCTTGTTAAACATTTTTATAATTAAAGTCAACACGCGCGCGATTGGTCTCGTTATTTAAAAAGAAATAAAAAAAAAACCCAACAGTTTGTATAATTAAAAAAGTCGAACCAGTGACATTTAAAAGTAAATTCTATAGCGAAATCCCGAGTGAATACTATATATATACTGAACGTCAACGATTAACCGTAATTTATGCCCCGCGTTGGATGAAATGAAAAAAAGGGGAACCCCTTTAAACCCACTAAATCTTCAAGGCATTATATACACATCGAACCAAATAAATCTTTTTCTCAGTGGAGACATTTACATCCTAGATTTCAGTCCCAAGATTATAGTTGGCGCGCACCCAGAGAATCTAGTTTTCTCCATCTCTGCAAATTCGTTTATCCCCCATAATCTAATTCCATATAACGCGCGCGCGAAATAGAACACAACAAGACGGGAAAAAAGAAAAAGAAGAAATAAAAAAAAAAAAACGAAAAAGTAAAAGCGAAGAGACGAGAAACAGGTACCCCTTTGTAAATCCTTGTGCAGATCGGTTCGCGGTCTCCTTCGCGGTCCATAACATATAAGCAAACGGACGGACGGACGCTCCCAAGTAGGGAGCGGGTTTATTCGCACCGGGCATTCCCATCCCTGCTCCTCATCGGCCGGAGGGGTATATATAGAGTGGGGGGTTACCCCCTCTGGACCCGTTGTGTACGCACCCTTATCCCGGTGTATTGGGACCGGGAGATAGGGATCTCTCACTCCTTCTCGGAGCGAGAACCAGGCTGGAGAACGGCGAATACACGCAGCAGCGGAGCAAAAAACCACACCACAAGAGGCCGGAGGGCCTTTTCTCATTGAGTCAGTCAGTCAGTCAGTCAGTTAGTTCGCCACAGCCAGCGAGGCGGGTTGCACGTCAAGCCAACCATCTCTCTCTCGTGTGAAATACACACACACATAAGCGCGCGTACGCGCGTGCTTCTAAATTAAAAATCCGTAGTACGATTAGTCGCGAACTCATCGAAAAATTTTTCGCGTAAACTACCGACCTCGAACCAATCTGACAAATACACACTCATCTACCTTACCGACTGAGCCCTTGAGGTTTATTTATTTATTATCTTTTTTTATTTTTTTGTTTTCAAAGTCCACCGGTACGTCGCGCGCCTCGTTAACGAGAGCCCTCCTCATCCCCCCCTTTCTTTCTCCCCCACCCCACCCCTTCTCACCCATCTGCTTAACCGGCCATTAAATCTCGAATTTCACGGCGCGAATCGAAACGAGGGCCACGCAAAGGGTAACCGACACCTGCCCGGGTGTATTCGTAATATGCGGTGGGCTGTGACGGCCCTGGCCTCGACGGCGATCTTTTTGCTCCTCGCGGCCGATTCAACCAGGGCGAGGCACCGTCGCACGGGAAACGATCACAAGCCCTCCGGTGACATCTCACTTTGGATCGATCGCCAACAAATTAAAATGTTCTCCGGTGAGTGTCCTCCCTCTCTTCCTGATGTTTTTCACACCCCCACCCTTCTCTCTCTGTCTCATTCGCCGAGACCAATCGCGGCAGACTTGACACATTTCAAAAACGAACCAATTATTGCAAATTATAGTAGTTCTATTTAAAAAAAAAAAATTATGTCCATTTTTCGAAGGATTAAAAATTAGAAAAGGATAAACAATTTTTTTTTAATAACTTATGATTTTGAATTTAGTAATCGAAAAAACGGTTGTGACAATCATTCAATTCTTATTATATGAAGAAGACACAGGAAGAATTGATTGACCTTTTCAACACTTTGAATTCTTAATAGACAATTACGTTAGGAAACGATTTCAATTAAAATTTTGTCTCTTTTTTGAAATTATAATCAGTTTTTTTTAATAGTTTAACGATTTGGAGACACAATGTATACGGTGTTTTTTAATATCGTGGTTAAAATTACAGCAACGGATATTTAACACCTTCCAGAAATTAGGATATCCACACGGAGAAAAATGGAAATAAAATAACTTCTACTACTTTAGTGAAACCGGAACTGTCCGCAGTTTCTGAGCATTTCTGGCAATTTTTACTCCAGAAATAGTAAAATTTACTCCTGAGATAGTAAAAATTATTCCAGAAATAGTAAATTTTACTATTTTCGGAGTAAAAATTGTCAGAAATTGCAGTCAGTTCCGGTTTTACTTTTAAAGTATAGTAAAAGTTACTTTATTCGTATTTCCATTTTTCTCCGTGCATGGATATCCTAATTTCCAAAAAAGATGGTTATCCAGAATATGCGAATGCTGTTTGGAGATTTATTGACATACGATTTTAGCCATCAAAGCAAAGGATGTTCCAGAATCTCCTTATAGGGATGTTCAGTTATCTTTTAAACTAGAATAGAAATGGAATATTTTAAATATCATTAAAAAATTATATTATACTGCAATTAGATATATAAAGATATATTCAATGTCTAAAAGAGGATATACAATATTAGGATATTAATAGATTCTAAATTAAATATCCTATTTCATGTTTCTGGAATATCGTTTTCTTGGAATTTTATAATTCTATCCAAAAAGCTACTGTCAAAAAAATTATTCCCTCAATAAGAAAGTTTAGCTTAAATTTTCCCGAAAGGACTTAGATATATTCTTAAATTATCAAAATACAATTATTGAACAATTAATTTTGGTAGAAGATATCAACGAAACCTGACACCTCGCGAACACTTGTTTCTTAATTCTTTGCCCTGATATTTTGAAATATATATTATCGAGAATTTAGTGAAGGTGAATTCGTTTAGTGACATAAATTTACGAAGTGGAAATTATTTCTTTTTGGTGACTTTATACAAAGTGCATCAGTGAAATTAGTCCTTAACGAAATTAATGGAGTGCAATGAAATTAATCATATAATAAATTTACTGAGTGCAGTGAAATATTAATCTTTTGTTATACCAAAATGGAACAAAACTAATTATTTTGGGGCAAAATATATATATATATATATATATATAAAGTGAAATTGAATTCTTCAAACGGTTCCAAAATCTATGAAGTGCTATACCAAATTATTCCTTTAAGAAATATTACTATGTGCACTAAAATTAATTGAATGCAACATGCAAAAAAATTTTCACCTGGAATAGCGATAAGTTTCTCTGGAATAGCGATATATTTCTCTAGAATAGCGAAAACTTTCGCTGTTTTAGTGAAACATATCGTCGCTCTAGGTGAAGATTTTTTTGCGTGCGAATACTTATAAGATCATAAATACTGTTCTTTCGGTTTGAAGCACATATTAATTTTTAGTGCCAAATACTAATCCGTTGGTTTCAAATTTACTATACAACCAAATTAATTAATTGCGGTTCCAAATTTCTAAAGTACAAGCAAATAAATGCACTAATCACAGAAGAAAAAACCAAAATCCCCAGAATAAAAATGGCAGTGAAGATAAATTTAATTTAATGCCATTTATCTCGGTTTATATAGAAGAATATGAGTTATATGACAATGTTATTTCTTTCTTTCATTCTCTTTTTTTTCAAATGTTTTCATAATAAAATCAATGAACTGTTTTATTAATGACAAGATATGTGCGATGTGTCTTAAAGAAATTTCTTTTGGATTGGGAATGTATATATATATATACGTAATATATAAAGATAAGAATTATCTCGATTGCAATAACTGTTAGTGCACTGTGTGCATTATCAAAATCTTCTAATAAGGTTAATTTCTTATATATGAATATTCGATATTTAAATACGCACACAGCATAATTCTAATGTCTTAGATCCTGTAATTATATAATTATATGCCTCATTATTACAATATATGTAAATGAGGATAATTGCCCCAACGATTATCCAGTTTGCCTTTGCTGAATTAAGAGGCTATTAACAGATAATGAATCTAATTTGAAATTAACATTGCATATGTATATATATATAAACGGGTTGAACTTTTTATAATATTATTATATGTGCATATAGGGAAATAAATATATCCAAATTTACTTCCGGTTGAAGTAAAAATGAATTCTTGGATTATTATTTTCATTGATTTGATAAACCTGTTTTTTAAATAATTTTAAAATTCTCGTCTAATAGGAATAATAAAAAAGAGAGACGAATGCATATTATGCTGTCAAATATTAATATGGCATAATAATTTTACATAATACACATTTGGCATAATGTGTGACTCCTCTACGAGAGAAGGGACGTTACGTTGAAAACAAATTTTAGGTTATGTTTAGTGATAGTTTTACCTTGATAAACGTTTCATTTTAATTAGGCAAATTCAAAATTAGTTTTTATTGTATTTTTTTAATGTAATATGGAGATTTAAACATAAATGTTTTGTATTAATAGTTGATTCTCTGTGAGTATATTTAAATACTAATTCCACTCTATAAATCTGAATTATATATAGTCCTACTTTTGACTAATTTAACTGCGCCGATTCGTTCATTAAATGAATTAGTAACTAATTTTTAGTCAAAAATAATTCACTGATAGTAGAAAACTACTAATTCATTTAGTAAGACTACTATTTTAATTAGTAAACTTTAATAAATATGTGTCTAAAGTCGAAAATCACTATTAATTAGTAAACTTTAATAAATATGTGTCTAAAGTCGAAAATCACTATTAATTAGTAAACTTTAATAAATGAGTCAAAAGTCGAAAGTGACTAATTCAGATTTAGAGAACACTTCAAAAATAACAAACATAACCTAAAATTTTCTTTTGAAGTAAGGTCCCTTCTCTCGTGGATCGTCAAATATATAAAATTTTTACTGAAGTTTTAGTAAAAAAAAAAAAAAAAGAACTGACTAAAAATTAGTAAAAATTCCTTACACTGAAGAAACGTAACTCTAAATTTAAGAATATCTTCTTGGCGCCTATTTAAGAACGTTTCCCTTACATTTTATTATTTAAAATTTAGAATATACCCTCCTAAACTTTTGCTACTATATAGTGAAACATTTCGCTGTTCTAGGTAAATCTTTTTCCTCCTTGTAAGATACTCTATTCTATATATATATATAACTTTAAAAACAAAATGCATGAAAAATATATTCTTAAATACCAAAAAAAGATATATTCTAAAATTTAGAGTTACGTTTTTTTTTTTGGTAATACTAAAGTAATTTATGTACCTAATTCTCATCGAATCCATTTGCGGCAAAATAAAAGTGATTTCCTTTTGAAAATAACTCGAATGTTTATCGAAAGGAAAAAACAACACTTTTAACGTTATATTGACAGTGACTAAAAAAAATGAGTAATATGTCTATACCAATGCGATGAGATTTGATTTGCAAATACAAGAGAATATATATATATATATATATATATATATATCCAATAGGAAGAGTTTGTTCTCTCTGTACTTGTGCCTGATGGTCTCATGGAATTCCAATATATATATATATATGGAGGCATGTATAATCGTCTGCAAACAAATCTCCGAATGGATAGCAGCATGTGCCGCGCCGGCTCAGAGTGTATATAATATCGTTTTTCTACCTTCTCTGTGGCAATGGTTAGTGAAAAAGTGAACATGTTGCAGTGGTTTCATGAAGAAGAGTGTGGTGGAATTATGTTCTTCCCTAACGTAAATTGTGCCAAGTATTATATCTCAGTTCAAGGATATGTATATATATATATATGTATATACAAAATTTTCAAATTATATTATATATCTTTGCCTTAAATCCTTGTCTTATTTTAACACTGTAAAAAAATTAAGGAGATAAGAGCACCGGGAGTTGGGAGTTAAATTTTTCGAGTTAAAAATCAACACAAAAGGGTGTTAATAATTAAACTAACTTCTTAAAATCAACTCCCTAAGCATAAAATTAACTCCCTTCGCTTCAATTCCAATAGAGTGCACTGAAAAAAAAAATTCTGATTAGGCTATATTTAACATTACTTTCTAGTTATGTTAACCAGAATTCTAGTTGAATTAACTAGAATTCTCGTTAAAATAACCAGAATTCTGGTTAACCTAACCAGAATCAAAATGTTAAATATACCCTAACCAGAATTCTGGTTATTCTAACTAGAATTTTTTTCAGTGTGGGACTTTTATAGCAATCCTGTAGCAAGTTGAAATTTAACTCCTTTTTTTACAGTGAATAAATATGGTTGGATTTTTAAAATTTTTCCCTAAAAATAGTTATTATACAATAATTCTATTAACTTCCTCTCCAAATCTGAATTAGTCGCAATTTTCGACTATAATTCAACTGCGCTGATTCGTTTATTAAATGAATTAGTTTTGACTAATTTTCAGTCGAAAATGACTAATTTGTAGACTAAAAAAAGGCTAAAAAAAAAACACGGAGAAAAATGAAAATAAAATAACTTTTACTATACTTTAGTGAAACCGGAACTGTCCGCGCAGTTTCTGCGCATTTCTGACAATTTTTACTCCAGAAATAGTGAAATTTACTCCGAATTATTATGGAAATAGTGAATTTTACACTGAAAAAAAATTCTAGTTAGAATAACCAGAATTCTGGTTAGGGTATATTTAACATTTTGATTCTGGTTAGGTTAACCAGAATTCTGGTTATTTTAACGAGAATTTTAGTTAATTCAACTAGAATTCTGGTTAACATAACTAGAAAGTAATGTTAAATATACCCTAACCAGAATTTTTTTTTCAGTGTACTATATTTTTGGAGTAAAAATTGCCAGAAATTGCGGTCAGTTCCGATTTTACTTTCAAAGTAGTAACAGTTAATTTATTCGTTTTTCCATTTTTCTCCGTAAAACTATACTGCTACTATATTTATACAAAATTTACTTTTAGTTATTAAACTATTATTTTAATTCATTATTTAATTAGTTGTTTTCTATTAAAAATTATAGTAATTTTTGATTGAAAATTAGTCAAAACTAATTCATTTAATGAACAAATCAGCGCAGTTGAATTTTCTCTCTAAATCTGAATCATAGTCATATTTTACTTATTAGCAGTAGAAATCTACTAATTGCCATAGCGAGAATTGAGCAACTGACAAGTAGAAGTAGAAATTTATTATTATCTAATTAGTAGAAATTTACTGATTCAATTAGTAAAATATCAATTACTGATTGAATCAGTAATATAAATATATGGCGGCGGACACAAAATCTACTGATTTAATAGTTAATTTTAAAGGTTATGTTAGATACAAATTACTGATTTACATAAGTTATTTTCTATTGCTTGCATATTCACTAATTATATTAGTAAATTACAAAAAAAACTGAAACTTCAGTTAAAATGAAAAGTACTGATTAAATTAGTAAAATTTCTAGATTTAGAGAGTTATTTAAAGGACTATATAATTCAAATTTAAAGATTATCGATGATTTAATTTATATATTTGGATCATTTTTAGAAATGATACGAAAATTAAGATCATTTTTCATATCTAATTTCTATTTACATAAAAAAAATAAAGTAACTTTTACTATATTTCCAAAGTTAATTCTAAATCCAGAAATTTTTGCGCAATTCTAAGTGACTTTTACTCAGAAAATTGGATTAAAAATTATATTATTATATTTCCGTAGTAAAATTTACTATTTAAGAAGTAATATTTTCTATTTCCGAAACAAAAGTTGCCAGAAGTTTCTAACAGTTTAGGTTTTTGCAAGTAAGTATAGTAAAAAATATTTTTTTTGTGTAAAAGCATTAGGTACATATATATTATATATGCGTGTATAAATATAATATTTATAATTCCGCGTTGAATAAGAGACATAGGAGAGAAAAAAGGGTGGGGGGGGGTGTTATAAAAAAGGTAGTCTATGTGCGTTTTTAAATGATGCTATTTATGTTAATTTAAAATAGTCCTTTTGTCATAAAATAAAACGTAATTTACTCATTGATGATTCAAAGCCACAAACAGCTGCCAGTGAACTAATAAAATATCACAGATTGGCTCGCCTTGTCTCTAATAAATACACATATCTTTGTAAACTACATCGTTCAGTGATAGTTTTCTTTTATTCTCTCTCTCTCTCTCTCTCTCTCTCTCTCTCAAACTAATTTTTTATTCTTAAAATTATTTCCAAAAAAAAATTAATTTTACATTATATCTCCCTATTTCCAACATATTTTCATAATATTTTATGTATAAAAAAAATAAATAAATAAATAAATAAATAAATAGATAATAAAATAACTAATTTCTGAAATAATAGTATAATAATTTAATAATAATAATAATAATAATAAAAATGATTATACATAATAATTATTATTATTATCTATCTTGGGTACCAAGGGTTATGCAGATTTTCCACTTTTCTCATAAAAAAAAAAAATAATAATAATAATAATGCTAGCAATAATAATAATATTAGATAATTAGAAATCAGTGTTTTAATAGTTAAAAAGTAAATAGCGCCTACTAATAGGCAACCTGACTCACAAGAGTGCTTTCAATGTAAGACTATTATCAATTAAAACTTTTTTTTCACTCATATTTATTTTTACCAAAAACTATTTTCTTTTATTTTTAGAAACAAATTTTATCAGAAAAACTAATATTTTGTTTTTTTTTTATTTTATAAAAATTATTATTGCCTATTATTATTTATTATTATTGAAATTAAAAAAATTTAATTAATTTAAAATTCAGGTAATAAATTTAAAACAAACAAAAAAAAAAAATTAATTAAAAAGAACTCCAAACCCTTTTTGTTTCGTCTTTATAATTGGAAACAATTTTTTGTTCTCCATATTAAACAATAAATATGCGGTAACTTGAAAATCTACTTTACCGACTTTCGATAGAAAAAAAAAATAATACATTTTTCACAACATTAACATGGCCTTAAGAAAAAATTTTTTAATGTAGAAAAATTTAAATAAATTTAAAAATATAAAATAAAAAAATAGATAGATAAAAAAAATCTTTACAAATATTTTAATATTATATAAAATTAACATTTTTTTTTTTCTATTTTTGCAGGTTTAGAAATGGAAATTTACGCAATATCGGAAGGAATTGTGTTGTCGTATCTTTTGGAACCGGAATTCGAAAGTAAATTGCCCGTTATTCCAAATGAAGTGAATTATGTCAATTTCACGTGGAAATCGGGAATGAAGAAATATTTTTATAATTTTTTTAAATTAACGTCTGATAATGAAATGATATTAAAGACGCCGTCAATTACAATAAAAACAACTGGCCGAGTGCCGAAAAAACCAAAAGGTAAATATTCATTTTTTTTTTAAATTAAACAAAAAAAAATTAATAAATAAATTTATTATAAAGTCCAAAGGTCCCTTCAGTATTCTCTATTTAATTATTAATTATTTAATTATTAGTTTTCAATTATTTAATTATTAATTATTCAACAGAATTTTGATTCAATCGAATTTTATTTGATTCGAATTTTTATTTACGTAATTTTTAATTTGTACGATTTTTGATTTGTCCGAAATTACAAATTGACCGAAAAAACAATCGAAAGAAAGATTTTGGCGCAATTTTTAAAATTGACCAATCAAAAATATTATCCAGAAAATTGTGATTGGCGCAATTTTGAAAATTGCGCCAAAATATTTCTCTCGATTATTTTATTGTTTGTTCAGTCAATTTGTAATTTCGGACAAATCAAAATTTGGCGTCTTAAAAATTCCGCCAAATTTAAAATTCGGCAAATTTGAAATTTCTCTCATTTAAAAATTCCTATCACATAAAATTCATTTTAATGAGAATTTTGTTAAATTAAAATTCTCTTAAATAAAAAGTCATGTAAATTAAATGACTGTAAAATAAAAATTCGTTAAACTAAAAAATTTTTGCATCAAGTAAATATTCGCATAAAAATAAATTCTTTAATTTGAAAAATAAAAATTCATCTAAAAATTATAATTAAATTATATATAATAATAAAATGCTTGGTCTGTCCTAACTTGAAGTTGGCCTTTTCTGATTTCACGTGTTTTTTTTTTAATAGTAATCTTATGACGTGTCAAATTTTGACAATTATTTTTCTCATTTTTGCCAAAGTTGTACAATTGTGTTTCGAAATTTTGGAATAAGTTTCTTTAAAATTCCAAATTCGAAAATTCAATTCACAAAGCTGAAGTACACAACGTTTACCAATGAAATTTTTTTTAAAGTTGTATATTGATTCAAAAATTGTATACAAATACAACAAATTTATGATGAGAAAAAATATGAGCCAGGAAATTTCGTACAAGATAGTAATTTGAAAAAAATTTATTTTTAAAAATTAATTTTTAAGGTACCAGGGGCCAACGAATACCTATTAAATATTAATTATAAAAACAAAGGCCTCGAATCAACTTAAAGATACAAAAAAGTCGTTTTAGTCTATTTATATTCCAAAAAAAAGTGAATTTGTTTTTTATTTTAACAAAAATATTTTACAGATTTTTAAATAAAAATTGTTTTTTTTTTTTTTTTTAATAATAATCCTTTTCGAAGGGTTAAAGTTGAAATTTTTAGAAATAATTAAATTTCAAAAGATATTGTTAAATTTTCAAACAATTATTAAATTTTACAGAACTAAAAATAATTTATCAAACAATTTTTGGAAAACTTTTTTTAAATTTAATTGAATTTTCAAAGATTTAAAATTGAGATTTTTGAAATTAATTGAAACTTTAAGTGATTTTTAATTAAAATTTTGAGATGATTTCACTAAAAATTTATTTGAAAATGCGAACAAAATACAAAAATTTGAAAATCATTTTTAATTGAAAAATGGTTTCAGATAGTTGAATTTTCAAAGAATATTATTAAAATAGTTAAAAATAATTGAATTTCCTTAGAGTTATAATTAAAATTATTAAATTTCAAAAAAAAATTTTTCGATGGAAAATTTTAGAAATAATTAAATTTTAGATGCTTTTAAATTTAAATTATTGAAAATTCAATTAATTTTGAATTCAAATTTTTGAGAATAATGAAATTTTATTTGATTTTAAATTTGGAAAATAATTGAATTTCAGTTCATTTTGAATTGAAAATTTTGGGAAATAATTGAATTTTAATTGAAATTTTGGATAATAATTACCTCCATGAAGTTGGCGTCGACGCTCAGCATCGAAAAATAATTTTTCATGGGACCAAAAATATCAAATCATTTTTAAAAAGGTTTTGGGTTCACATAATACATTGAAAAGTATTTCTCAGAGGTATAATTTGGACCGAAAATCATAAAAAAAATAATTTGACATTTTTGGTACTGTGAAAAATAATTTTTGGCGCCGAGCGTCGACGCCAACTTCATGGAGGTTAATTATTTAAATTTAAGTTCATTTTTTATTGAAAATTTAAATAATTAATTTTGAATAGAAATTTTAGAAAATAATTGAATTTTATTTCATTTTAAATTGAATATTTGGTAAATAATTAAATTTTAAATTGAAAATTTTTGATAATTATTGAATTTTAAATTAAAATTTCTTGTAATAATTGAATTTCAGTTCATTTTGAATTGAAAATTTTGGGAAATAATTGAATTTTAATTGAAATTTTGTATATTAATTTAATTTAAGTTCATTTTTGATTGAAAATTTGGATAATTAATTTTGAATAGAAATTTTAGAAAATAATTTAATTTTATTTCATTTTAAATTGAAAATTTGGTAAATAATTAAATTTTAAATTTGAAAATTTTCGATAATTATTGGATTTTTAATTGATTTTGAATTAAAATTTCGGGTAATAATTGAATTTTAGTTTATTTTGAATTGAAATTTTTCAAAAAATAATTCAATTTTATTGTGATATATTTTTTTTTTAAATTATAAACAATTGTTAAATTTCATAAAAATTTTAATTGAAAAATAATTTTGATATAATTGAATTTGTGATGTATTTCATTAAAATTATTAAAAATAATTAATTTAGTGCAGAATCAATTTAGTTCAAAATTTGTTAAATAATTGAATTGAAGAAGATCTACATTTTATACTAAAAAAATGTATTTTATTTACATTTTTTTTTCAAATGTAAAAAAAAAATATCGCAGTTTATTAAAATAAGTCGATAAAAGTCATATTTTTGAAAAAAGTCGGAAAAAGTCGTATAATCCGAGGCCTGTAAACATATAATTTTCATTATATTCTAATAAATTAAATTATTATTGATAATATTAATCTTTAATTTCTTTCAAACGAACAATTGAATACTCAATTTGTCGCTCTTGCGCGCGTTTAATTTTGCTAGTTTCTAATAAAATAATTTAAAAAATAAAAATTTGAATATTGAGAATGTAGAAATATAAAAAGAAAATTGAAAAAAGAAAATCAACTAAAATGGAAAATTTTTTTTTTTTTGAAATTTTTTCAGAATTCAGCGTAATGTTACCTTGTTCCGGCAATGCATCGGGAATAGCACAATTTGGAATTGGTCTGATGATAGAGACACGCAAGAGGAAAGCCCTGAACGGTACACCCCTTTGTCTCAGCCTGAGAAAAGAATGCACCGTGCGCGGTGAGTGCGTCAATCGCGCCCACGATCACCAACATCTTCTCTTCACTCACATACATACAGTTTTGTATCATCAGTAATCGCCACTAATTTGCTGCATGCTTCGATCTAAAACAATCGGAATTTTAATTAAAAGTAGAGAGTCTCAGATCGCCGCTTCCTTCCTCTTTTCTCGATGAGGCACGACAAGACGAATCGGTTCAGTTTCAAGTCACTTTTCTCCCCTTGTTTTCTCTTTTTTATCTTTCAACATTTATTTATTTTTTCTTTTTTTTTTATCTCTTTTATTTAGTTCAATTAATTACACGCCGAAAGAAATAAATTAAACGGGACAGCTAGAAATTTATTGGTACGAGGCGCAAAAAATGGTTTAATCAATTTAATTGCCAAATTACCCCGTTCTTGTATATATATATATATACTCTTTAACAATTCCTTGTTCGATTACAAACACAATTGTTTGCTCATGGAACGCGGACGAAAAAGTAAAAATGTGAATTCCTCGTGTGAGTCGATTTCACTAATGAAGCTTTTTCGCGACTCAAGTATTTTAATTAGGTGACTTTTGTTGCCTGGAATTTTTCATTCTTTCTCCAACTGGAATTTTATACTGTTCAGAGATTTTTAGATTGCAAATAATTTTATTTGCTTCTATTTTTAATTCTATATATCTATTCATATAAAAGTTTTGCCGATTTTTTTTTTTTTTTTTTAAATAATTTCCATACATTTATTTTTACTAAAACAAATGAAATTATGAAAGAAAGGCCTCGGATCGACTTTAAGGCACAAAAAAAGTCGATTTATATTTAAAAAAAAGCGAAAAAGTCGATTTTTTTATTAAAACAAAATTAAATTGGCTAATAAATATTTTACTTTAAATAATCACTGTTATTAGATAATAAATTCATTTTATTAATTTTGTAATGAAAATAATTCTATAATGAATATTATTCAAGAAAATTTATTTCCAATATTTTAGAATCGAACTAATTGTAAGATAAATTTTCAAAATTTTATTTAATTAAGAGAAATTTCTAAAAAAAATTCTTAAATTTCCATTTTTATAATTTTTTCAAGTCCGATTTTAAGCAATTTATTCGAATTAAAAATTTTGTCACAATTTTTAGTTTTGATGGTGAAAAAAATTTCAGGCAATACTTTAATCAAGTTTTACAGATTTTTAAATAAAAAAAAAAAAATTTTAAATAATAATTTTTGAAGAATTAAAGTTGAAATTTTTCAGAAATAATTGAATTTCAATTTATTAGTTTTTTAGACAATAATTAAATTTTACAGTAACTAAAAATAATGTATCAAATAATTTGAGATAACATTTTTTAAAAGTAATTGAATTTTCAAATATTTACAATTTAAATTTTTGAAATTAATTGAACTTCAAGTGAATTTTAATTTTTAATTTTTGATAATTTCACTAAAAAATTGTATTAAAAATTGCAGACAAAAATACAGTAATTTAAAAATTTTTTAATTGAAAAATAGTTTCAGATAGTTGAATTTTCGTAGAATATTATAAAAATAATTCAAAATAATTGAATTTTGAGTTATAATTGAAATTATTAAATTTCAAAAAATTTTAGATGGAAAATTTTTAGAAATAATTAAATTTTAGAAGCATTTTTAAATTGAAATTTTTGAAAATAATTAAATTTCAAGTGATTTTGAATTAAAAATTTTTTGCTAATTTTATTTGCTAATTTTTTTTTTTAATTACAAAACAATTATTAAATTTCATAAAAATTTAAATTGAAAAAAAAATTTAAGTTAATTGAATTTGTCGAAGAATTTCATTAAAATAATTAAAAAATAATTAATTTAGTGAAGAATTTTAGTTAAAAATTTGTTAAATAATTGAAATAAAGATTCTGAAAAAGAATTGTATTTTATACTAAGAAAAAAAACGTATTTTGTTTTAAAATTTTTTTAAAAGAAAAAGTTGCATTTTATTAAATTAGTCGAAAAAAATAGTCAAAAAAAGTCGAAAAAGTCGCATTTTATTAAAATAAGTCGAAAAAAATCGTAATTTTGAAAAAAAAAATCCAGAAAAAGTCGCATAATTCGAGGCCTATAAAAGAAATTTTGTAAATAAACATTTTATTGAATAAAAATTTCATTTTATATTAAAATTTTATTAAATATAAAATTTTATTCAATAAAAATTTTATTTAATAAAAATGTTTATTAAAATTTCTTCTTTAATGTAAATAAATAACTAAAATTATAAAATTGCAAATAATAAAAAAAATGATGAAATTTTAATTATACTTAACATTTAGTTTTTTTTCGTGGATTTTTTTTTTCTTTTTTTTTTTACTATCGGTTCCACTTTATGTAATGTAAGGCGCATTTTATCTCAACACTTTTGAAATAATGCGAGTGTCATTGAGTTTTTTTGTGAATTTTAAAAGAAATGAAAATTTTTCAATGATTATCTGTCGTAATTAACATCTTTGCGCCTTGAAAAATATTCCGTGAATTAAAAGAAGAAAAAAAAAAAAAAAAAAAAAAAATATGATGAAAAATTTTATATATTAAACGCAGACTGCACAAAAAAGAGCATTGTTTTAATATATCACATAAAACGCAAATTGACGCTCGCATTATCAAATCATTACGTCTCTTCAGAGCAGAAAATGGATTTTGTGTTAGAAAAATCTAAAATTCGAAAAAAAAATAAATATTATAATAATTAAAATTACAAAAAAAGAATTAATTTCCAAATTTTTCATAAAATTTTGGAAAATTTTATTTTAAAAAATAATTAACAAAAAATTTGAAAATTATATTTTAAAAAAAGACTTAATTTTTCTCTTTTTAAAATAATTTTCAAAAAAAAACTTAATAATTATTATTTTTAATTAAAATTATATTCAAAACAAAATAAAAAAAATTTAATAATTTTCTTTCATTTTTTTTTTTGAATTTTAATTAAAATTTTTACGAAGAATTTCATATATGTTTAAATTTGACAAAATCCAAAATAAACACAATAGAGAAAAAATTTGAATTTCCAAAAAGTTTTTTTTTTTTTAAATAAGAAAGATAATTTTTTACAGAACAATATCCAGGGCCCTGTCCGGATGGTTATCTAGGTCCTCCACATTGTAAAAAAGCTCTTTGTTATCCAAATTGCATGAACGGTGGAAATTGCACGGCACCAGGAGTTTGTTCCTGTCCACCAGGATTTCAGGGTCCTTATTGTGAAGGCGGTAAGTCCGAAAAATTTATTTTAAAACAAAAATAGAAAAAACAATAATTTATTTCTTTCAAAAAAAAAAAAAAAAAAAAATTGTTCTCAAATAATCATAATATTTGTTGATAATTTTAATCAAGCAATAAAAATTAATAATTAATTTTATTTAAAATTAATAATTTTATTTAGAATTAATAATTTTATTTAAAATTAATAATTTCATTTAAAATTAATAATAAATTTTAATTCGATAGTTAATTTAATTTATTGAGAAATCTTTCCAATAAATTATTTAGTTTGTTAGCTTTTTGTTATTTAACTTTTCAAAATTCTTTTACTTGTTTAAACAATTGATTGTTTAATCTTTCAACTTGTCATGTGTAAATTCCATTGAAATAGAGAAAAAAAAACATAAAATTTCACTAAAAAAAAATTCTCTCAACTTTACCATATTTAAAATGATATTTATTATCAAAATTTGTATTCAAATATATATATCATTAATTATTTTTCTACATATTTAGCTAATTAGTTTAGCAAAAAATTAAGTAATTATTAATTTTAATTAACAGATATAATTAATTTTAAGTACACTCGGAAAATAGATACTAAATATTGTATTTTATTTACAGTATTGACTTCGAGTTTCTATTCTATGTACTGTCGGTAAAAATAGATTTTTTTTAAACTCAACATGATTTAAAATTTTAGTAAAAATTTCCTTTTACTATAAAATTATTTTCAAAATAATTTCTTCTTCTTAAATGACTTGAGGAGTAGCCAAAGAATTCTTCCTAAAATAACTTGAGACCTGACAGAACTATCAATTCGAAAATTAGAAATCTACATTACCGACGGAACATAGAGTGGAAACTCACAGTTAATAAAAATTCTGTAAATAAATTTTTTTTTCTCTTTAGAATGAAAAATAATATTTAATACACTTCTTTCGAAGAAAAAAAAATCTCTTTTCCGAGTGTATAAAAAAAAATGACTAGGAAATATCTCAACAATAATAATAATAATAATAAATGATTTTAAATAACTTTGGAAATTGCGATTGCAGTTTTACAACCCGTCTTAATAACATTGGTGAGAATTTGATAGAATGGCGCCTGTTTAGCGCCATGTTCCAATCCAGTGTCATGATGTTCAAGTTCTTCGTCACGAAATTTTTGTATTGTTTCCAATAATTCTTTATCGATATTTTCCTTATTCTCCATTAGCGATCGCAATTGATCGTTATAATGTTCAACAATAACATCCTCAACGGCCACGGTACACGCCATTGCGGCTTTTGTTCCCAATAATGCGGTTCCAGCGCCGAGGACAAATCCCGCAACATTCCAAATTGGCAACAATGCCGTTGGCCTAACACGATGTTTTACTATTAATTCCTCAAATTTTGCTCTATGTTTCTTTTCCTGATCCCACATGAGTTGAATCGTTGGACCAACTTTTGATCTTCCTTTTGAAAACATAAAAAAAAAAATTTCTCGTTAATTTTATTTTACCCAACAAATTTTCCATATTTCTAATCAAAATTTTTGTAATGTAAATACAAATTAAATTTTTTTTTTTAATTCCAACTAATTAAAATATCCTAACTATTCTTATTTCTTTCTGCTTCTAAATGTATGTAATTTAGAGGAACTTTTAATATTTATTTATTTTTTTTTTTTTATTTAAGTCCAACGGTTTTAAAAACCAAGTTCAAATGGCAAAAAAATTGAGCGCGAAATAAATCAAAAGTTATTAACAAAATTATTATTGATTAATTTTTCAAGTTCGCGACAAATTTTTCTTCGCGATATTTATTTGAACAAATGAAAATTCTGTAAAATACAAAATTTGGCGTATTCTGTAAATAATTTAAATTCAAATTCGAAAATTCGTTTAGAAGAGAATTCATTATATTATTTCGATAAATTGAAAAAAAATTATTTTAAATACTTATTCTAAATGAAAAATTCTAGTAAATAATAATTCTGTTAAATTCAATGAAATAAAAAGTTTTTTTAACTGAAAATTAAGTAAAAATTCAGAAATTGAATTGACATAAAAAATTTTATTTAATTTCAATCAGAATTTAAAATTTTTACCCTCACCCTAATGGAAATATTTCAAGAGGTTTTCAATTATAGAGAATAATTTTTAGAAGCAAAATTTTGAATTGAAAATTTCAAAAATTCTAATTTTTAGTAGGGTTTGTTTAAAAAAAATTTGCTATTTCTCCAGTACTTTTGATAAAATTCTCTGATTTTTCCCTGACACGTGACAATTCTAATTCAAAACAATAGACACGGAAAAAAAATGTTCTCATTAAAAGAGGATTCCTTATCTTTTCCTCTTCTATACGGACACTAAATTGTCTAATTAAGAGGATGAATAATTTCAATTTTAGAAGAAAAAATCATAAATTTAAAAAAATAATTAAAAAGTTATATTGAAATTTTAAAGAAATTATTAAAATTATTAAAAATAATAATTGAACAACAGTTACAGATGAAATTTTTAGAAATAATTGAATTTCAAAAGATTTTGTAAAATTTTACAGAATTGAAATTTTTTTCATCCAAATAATTTTAGAAAAACTTTTTTAAAAAATAATTCAATTGAAAATAGTTTAAAGATAATTGTATTTGTAAAGAATTTCATTGAAATTATTTAAAATAATTAAAAAAATTAAATTTTAATTAAATTTTCAGTTAAAAATTGATTTAATCTTTTAATCAGAATATTCTCAAATAAAGAAAGAAAAATTATTTTTTAGATTAAATTAAAATTTTTTTTAGATTGAAAACAAAAAAAAAATAAATTGAAAATAAGTAAAATTAATTATTATTGAACGGAATATTCTTTTCATTTTGAGATATTATTTTCGGTGTAATTTCGTTTTCTCTACATTCACTCATAAATCCATTTCCATCACATAGTTCTCAAACTATTTTATTTTATTCTCTTTCTTATAGAGAACAAAACCACATCATCCGCATACGTATAAATCATATCCTCTTCTTTCTCTTTAATTTTTTGTTATTTTAAATTCTCCTTTTTTTCCGCCTAGAACAAATTAAATTAAAATTGAACTCATTCCTCTATATAGCTAAAACATTTTCTCCCTAAAATCTTTGTTAATTTTCATCCTTTCGTAGCATAAATTTTTTTTTTTCCTCAAACCCTTGTTTTATCCCCTTTTTGAATTTTTTTTTTATTTTTTTATTCACTGTAAGCAAAAAAAGTTTTTTTATTCATTAAAAAAGTTCAATAAAATAAAATTTCTTATTCGAAAATTAAAATTAAAAAAAAATTGAATTTAATTTCAAAAATCTAAGTTATCTTACCTAATATTGCCATTTGTCCAGCGTAAATTCGATCAGCTCCCAATTCACCAGCATGATCGACACGAACAATTGAATCAACAATATTACTCGCTCTTGAATTTGTTGCTGCTGATGCAGTTTGTGTTGCATCACTGCTCATTAAACGAGTCAAAGATTTTTGTCCAAATCGCAACATTTTTTAAAATTCTTTCACCTGAAAAAAAAGAGAATAATTATAATTAAAAATAATTTTTTTTTTTTTGTAGGAATTTGTTCCGATAAATGCCTAAACGGAGGTAAATGCGTTCAAAAAGATAATTGTGAATGTCCCAAAGGATATTATGGACTTCATTGTGAATTTTGTAAGTATTTAAATCTAAAAAAAAATTATATAATTATTTCAATTTCAATTTCAATTATAAAAAAAACATAATAAAAAATAATAAATATTCAATAATAATAATTCAATAATATAGTAAATTTTATATAAAAATTTATTTTAAAAATTATGTTTCTAATTTTATTATACACTTTTTTATTTTTCTTCCGCTCTTATTAAGAAATAAAAGAACAACTTTGTAACGAAATAGTATATTAAATAAAAATTATATAATTTTCTAATTCGAAACACAAAATAAAACAACAAATTTGTATTATAAAAACCAAATCTCTCTTTTTTTTACAGCCAAATGTGTAATTCCCTGTCTAAATGGAGGAAAATGTAAAGGCAACAATTTGTGTCGATGTCCCGCAGGTTTTAAAGGTGATCATTGTGAAATTGGAAGACGTTCACCTCAACGTTCCGCTTGTACGAGAGCTTGCAGAAATGGAACGTGTCAACCTGACAACACCTGCTTATGTGAGCCAGGCTGGTTTGGCAAATTATGCAACAAGAATAAACCTTGGGCTTGAAGAAAAAAAAAAAAAAAAAAAAAAAAAAAACTGAAAACAAAAAAGAAAAGAAACGCTTTGAATTTATGGACAATGCTTTCGACCGACTGGACAGTTTCTGTGAAATTACAGAATCTTGTCTGAAGAAAAAAAAGAAAAAAAAAAGAAATGAAACAAAGAGATAATATCTAAATCAAGTTAGAGAATAATCCTATATGAAATATATGGGATCTTATTTAATTTAAAAAAAAGAGAAAATCAGATTTTCTTAAAAAAAATTTTTTTTTACTGTTTTGGCTGTTTAATAAGAATTCCCAAAAAAAATTCGCAAAAAAAAATTAGTTATTTTTTTAAAAACAAAATTAGTTCTTTAATTTTACATTTATAAATTTCAATTTCTTCTTTTATTAATTTTTTTATATTTTAAAATGTTATATTTTCGATTTTTTTCAATGTTTATAGGATTCATATATATATATATTTTTATTTTTATATTTAGCTATCTATATGAAATGTTTTATTTTTATATTTTTTATTATATTTGTTATATATTCACTTTTTATTTATTTTAATTATTATTATTTTTTTTTTTTGTATACTTTTATTAATATTTTTACTTGAAAAACTTTTTATGATAATTAAAATATGGAAAAAATTAGAATAATTTTTTCTTTAGTCTAAACTTTGGATTTAAAAGAGAAAAAAAAAAATTGTATTTAATTCTAATTTTTTGTTATAATTTTTATTCTCATAAAAATCAAAAAAAATAATTTAATTTGTTAAATACAAAATATTTTGAAAGAAATTTTTTTAATTCATAAATTAATTTGCGTGGCAAAAAAAACATTTGGAAATTGTTATTTTACAGTTGAAACACGCGCAAGAAAACGAAAAAAAAGAAAAAGAAAATCTTAAATTTAATTTTTAATAAATTGTTTTTAGTAATATTTTAGAAACGAAAGAGACTCGAAAAAAGTGAAATTATTATTTTGTGAATCTAGAAGAAAAAGTAATATAAGTATTTTGTTACTTATTAAGTTTTTTGGTCTTTCATGAATTTTGGCTCGTGTTGTTAATATTTAGGTAAATTTTTTAAAACTATATATTTTCTTTTTGACTACGAATTTCAAAATTCTTTTTAAAAAATTAATTAAATGCTTAATTTAATTAATTAAAAAAATTAATTAAAAGCTTAATTTAATTAATTTAAAAAAATTAATTTTAGAAAATTAATTTATATAAAAAATTTTTTTAAAAATAATATTGGAAAATTAATTTCGAAAAATTAATTTTTAATTTTAATTTCGAAAAATTAATTTTTAATTTTAATTTCGAAAAATTAATTTTTTGACATTATTTTGTATAGAAAAAAAAAATAAAATTATATATGAAAAAAAAAGAATTCGTAGTCCAATCGGTCGGTATCGCGAAACAAAATGCGAACGTGTTAGGTTTTTTCTGTTTACTTTTTTTTTTGTAAAAGAAAATCCTACTCCAGATGTGATATGTAAAGTTGCTTTACACCATTTTATACTAGAATTATTATTATTGACATTCTTTTATATTGTTAGTTTTTATTTTAATAATATTGTATAAAAAAAAGGAAATACAAGTATTTTTCTTGTAATATACAAAAAAAAAATTAATTTTCTCTTTTCCTCACAAATTTTTTTAATTTAAATTCAAATTTTTATTTTTAAAAATTGTTTTTTTAAATTTAAAAAAAAATTTGTTTAACAACAAAATTAAATCGTAATTTACATATTTATAAGAGTTTACATTTTTTTTTAAATAAAATTTTTATAATTATCATTTTTTTAATTCGATATTAATTTTAAAAAAAAACAAAAATTCAATATTTTGTTACGAAAATTGGGAAATCGAAAGGTTATTTTTAAAAAATAGAAAAATTTTGTTTTCATTACTTTATATTTTATTATATTTAATTACATATTTAATAATTATCAAAAAATGTTTTAACAATTTAATTATTAAAAATTTTTCCCATTTTTTTTTATTCTTTTTAGTTTCTATTTTAAATGTTTGCCTCATTTTTTAAATTTCAACAAAAACTTTTTTAAAACAATTCGCAATAATTAAAACAGGAAAAAAAACCCCTTAAAATGCGCAAGTGTCAACAAAATATAACCTCAAAATCGAGAAAACATAATTAAAATACGTCAATATTGACCCACAAGTTAAAATTAATTACGTAATATATAGAGAAAAAAAATTTACAATTCGAATATGGATATATATACCAGACACAGTAGACAAGCATCAATCAATCAATACCTGAGGCACTACCAAACCCTTAACCACACACATATATAGGAAAATAAATCAATAAACCCCCAAACGACAAACTGTCAAATAAACATGTACTCGATTCACAACTTTTAAAATAAATATTTGCTATTTTTTTTCTCACCGCGACAAAAAAAAAACGTAAATAATTTAAAGTAAAAAAATGGAAAAGAATTAACATTTACCTTTGTATTTAAAATTTTCTGAAATGAAATGAAAAAACCTTCGTCTCTTTGACAACAATCAAAACTCCCCATGATGCAATGCTTCTTCGAATAGTTGAAGTTAGGTTAATGTTCTCAACCAATTGGCATTGACTTTTAACACGGTCACGTGTTTCATGAACCAATCAGAATACATCATTGTCAAGCGCCATGTCACTCTCTCAACGAATCAAATTATTCCACTCTCTTCCACACAGTTCTTCTTGTCTGTGGCGTTCATCAAGTGCAACGTCCAACAAATACAACTTGATAATGGTGAGTTTTAATAATTATTAAAAATTTCCCCTCAATTTAATAAAACATTAAAACAACAAACATTCATTCTAATCAAACAAATTTATTAAAAACTCATCCGATTTTCCATATCGTCTGCTCCGCCGCCGATCATACGCGCAAACTCCATCAAAATGGCGACCATTCTCTATATACGAAAGAGAATTTTTTTCGTTCGCGCGCGCTTGTGGTGGTACTCGTGGCGCTCGAACCAACCATCATCATGATGATGATGATGGAGGTCCGGACTACCGTTCCACTAAGGCGATCGATACGGGGAATCGAGCGGGGTGACATGGCCGCTTCTGTCGTGCGTCTTGTTCGTTCACCTCTTCCCCGCATGTTATTACCATTATTGTTCGACAATTTTGACGCGTAGACATTTTAAATAACACATCAATGTTAATAGTGACCGCGCGCAATTGACTTTTTTTTATTTCGCGCACCAGGTGAATTGAAAAAAAAAAAAAAACACGCACTATTTTAAGTTGTGTGTATATATATATGTGTGTGTGTGGTGATAACTGTGACACAATATGACAATCAGGGCGTGGTGTAGAAATAATTTTAATTTTCAAAAAAAATAAATTAAAAAATTCTCTTTTTTTCTCTCCACCTCTTTGAGATCAAAAGTTGAGGTGATCCGCTGCACACGACGACGACGAGACAGAAACAACAAACCAAAGGTGCGTACGCAACTCGCGATTTTCACTGGGCCTGCTCAACGGCGCCCGCGGTCATGAGCCTTGCGGATCTCACGACTTTTGCGAGTTGCCCTGCGCATTTTCACTCTTGAGAGCACGTTGTTTGTTGTCAACTTTTCTCTAATCCCCCTCCTCTGGGTGACAAGCGTCTTCTTAATATTTAATTTAATATTTAACTGAGACCCCGTCGTCGTCGTCGACGTCGACCTCCACCGCGGGGCCCGTTTTGTAAAAAAAAAAAAAAAAAATGACACCCTCATGGTTCCAACCCTCAACATTTTCCCTTTAAATAGAAATTTGAATTTTTAAAAAAACAAATTTTTTTTGTTAATTTATTTTCAAATTTAGGTAATTTTTTTTTCGGGAAATTTTTCTTTTTTTATCGTTTGCGGGTTTGCTTGGGTTTTTGTTGTCGAGCGTTGCTTTCAATGAGAGCGAGCGAGAAAGAAAGATAGAAAATTATAGATATATAAGTGAATGAAAAAGAGAGAGAAGGAGAATGTTGGGAGGAAAAAAGTTTCGATTTCCTCTCCCCCTGCTCCTTTTCTCTCCCTCTTTTTCCCCCCTTTTGGTGGTTTAAACCCCCCTCCCACCCCGCGTTTCCCTACTTCTCTCTTCATCTATGGTTTATTTCTTATTCCTTTCGATATTGCCGATAGAGTTCGCCAAGTTACAGTGCAGAATCCACGTGCTTTTTTGACAGTAGATTTTTTTTTTTCTCCCTATTTTTGTTTATTCATTATTGCTTTTAATGAAAAATAAATTTTTGAGGTTATTTTTATCAAATTTTAGATGCGACAATAATTCGACAAAAAATAATTAAAAAAAAAAAAAGAAAAGAGGGAATTTTTTTGAAAAAAAAATTTTTCATTTTTTTCTACTTTGCTGAGTGCATAACCTCACTTTTGTAATTTCTTGAAAAAAGCTTAAAAAAAGAAATTCGTTTCAGAATTATATTTTTTCTTACGCGACATAACCTCAAAAATAAAAATAATCAAATTTTGTGATTAAAAAAAGAATGTTTTCTATTTTTAATGATTGAAAAAAAAAAAAAAAAAAGCATGATTTTTGATTAGTGAAAATTGGATTCAATTTTTTAACAATGGAGTAAGTTTTATTTTGTTTATTTAATAGAGAAAGTAAGTTTAATTGTTTAATAAAAAAAAATAGTGTTATTTTTCTATTGTTGATTTTCTTTTATTTAAAATTTTTTTTTATAAATATAATATTTATATAGTAAAATTTATAAAAATATATTTATTAAAAATTTATATATTTAAAAAATCAATATTTTTTAAATATTATTATTTAATTAAGTTTTATAATAAAACATATTTGTCAAAAATTAATTATTTTTTGAAAATATCTATATTTTTAAATATTTAAAAAACGCTTCAAGTCAATGAAAAATCGATTTAAAATTTGTTTTTGAATTTTTAAAGTGAAAATTAATCTAATATTTAAAATAACCTGGTTTTATGTAAATAGAAATTTTTTTTTTTTTTAATTTTTTAGAACTACATTTTTCGAAAAATTGGAACTTTTGTAAAATTATATAAAGAACTTTATTTTCATTTTTTCTTTTGCATAAAACTTTTAATTAATTAATTTATTATTATCTTATTTTTATTATTATTTTTTTAAAATTATTATTATTGTTTATTATTTATTATTATTATTATTATTATTTAATACCTAATTATTAAATTTTTTTAAAATTATTATTATTGATTATTATTTATTATTATTATTATTATTATTATTATTATTATTATTATTATTTAATACCTAATTATTAAATTTTTTTAATATTTATTAAATTTCTTAAAAATATTCATTAATTTTTTTTTTTTAATATTTATTAAATTTTTTTTGTAAAAAAAATATATTAATTTTCAAAGGCTCAAAAATTAGTAATTAAAAATTTTTGTTTAAAAAGAAAAATTTGACAATTTTCTTGTTGGCATTTAAAAAAGGAAAAATCAATAATAATAATAATAATAATAATAATTCGTTTAAATACATTAGATAAGTTCATTGTCCGAAAACCATATAGCATCTGTTCGTTTTATAGTCAGCTGAGAAAGAGAGAGAAACGTAAACCATCGAAGGGTGAGAGGGTTTTTTTGGGGGGAGAGGGGGGTGAATCTGAGGGGGGTAAATGTCGAGGTTATGGGGCAGATGTAGGGGTTCAACATTATGACTCAACTAAAACTGATATGTGTGTATCAGAACTTTAAATTTTATATGTACATATATATATATATATATATATATATGTATATAAAAATAATAGCATTAAAATTTAGAGAAAAAAAAATGTAATTTTTTTTTTCAAATTTTTCTGAATATTATTAATTTAAATTAATTAACATTGAAAGGAGAAGAAAAATAATTTTTTTTTTCAAAATAAATTTCCAAAATTTTAGTTAATTCTTAATTAGATAAATAATTAAATTATTTATTTAATTAATATTTAGGTAAATTATTAAATAATTAATTAAATAAGTGATTAAATTATTTATTTAATTAATTATTATTTAGATAAATTATTATTAAATAATTAATTAAATTATTAAATAATTTATTGGGTAATTAAATAAATAATTTAATTTTTTATCTATTTTATTTATTTAACTTAAAATTAAATAATTTATTTGGTAATTAAATAAATAATTCAACTTTTTATCTATTTTATTTATTTATTTATTTAACTCAAAATTAAATAATTTATTTGAAAGGAGAAAAAAAATAATTTTTTTTCAAAATAAATTTCCAAAATTTTATTTAATAATTAATTAGATAAATAATTAAATTATTTATGTAATTAATATTTAGATGAATTATTAAATAATTTATTAAATAAATGATTAAATTATTTATTTAATTAATTATTTAGATAAATTATTATTAAATAATTAATTAAATAAATGATTAAATTATTTATTTAATTAATTATTTAGATAAATTATTATTAAATAATTAATTAAATTATTAAATAATTTATTTGGTAATTAAATAAATAATTCAACTTTTTATCTATTTTATTTATTTATTTAACTCAAAATTAAATAATTTATTTGAAAGGAGAAGAAAAATAATTTTTTTTCAAAATAAATTTCCAAAATTTTATTTAATAATTAATTAGATAAATAATTAAATTATTTATGTAATTAATATTTAGATAAATTATTAAATAATTAATTAAATAAATGATTAAATTATTTATTTAATTAATTATTATTTAGATAAATTATTATTAAATAATTAATTAAATTATTAAATAATTTATTTGGTAATTAAATAAATAATTCAACTTTTTATCTATTTTATTTATTTATTTAACTCAAAATTAAATAATTTATTTGTTAATTAAATAAATAATTCAATTTTTTATTTTATTTATTTAACTGAAAATCCCGCAGTCCATTTAAACCGTATAGGCTAATTAATTATTAATTAATTTAAGTTTTGATAATTCTCAAAAAAAGGAAAAAAAAATATATATTTTCCTTCTTCTTTCAATGTTTATTATTTAATTAAAATTTTTAATAAACTAATTTTTTTGCCTTGGGAAACGATAAAAAAAAATCGATAACACGAAAATTCGATTAAAAATTTAATTATATCTTTTTGTTCTAAACTGTACCCTTGACCTAATTTTTTATTTTAATTTTCAGGTGAAAGTGATGTAAATGAAGAAAACAAGACTCTTGAAGTTCGCTTCATTGAAAAATTGGCTAGTGATTGATAAGAGGGAAATTTTTTTTTTTTTTTTTATTTGAATCCTAAGTTTTGAAAAAAAAACTTGGGAAACTAAAAGTTTCTTTGCTGAAAAACAAAAAAATTGGAGGGACAAAAATATATTCATCAAAATTGATAGTGACGAGAGAAGCGACGAGATGACTTCAATACACAGTACTGAGATTGAAAGACAGGAGAGAATCACCGATGACGATGACGATGATCAAACGAGCGGTTCCGAAGCATACGAGGAGGGCGATCTTTTATCAGCGGCAATGGATGATGATGTTACGGCCCAACTCGCCGCTGCAGGTTGGCAAATCAAACACGCTAATGGTGATTTCCATTTTTTTGCTTTTCTCACCAAATTTTTTGAGTTACTTACGTTCTAATCCATTTATCATGTTACTTTTTTCCAAAAAAAAAAAATGAAAAAATGAAAAAAAAAATCGAAAATTAAGAGAAAAAAAAATCCGAGAGAAAGTGTCCACATATTGAGGGATGTAAGTTTTGATATTTCGATTTAATGTTGCTTCGAGCATATTTGGTGACGAGTTTTTTAATTTTTAAATTTTTTATTTAAGGCCATCCGGGAGAAAATAATGGTTTTGTAGATTTCTTCTCATTTGAAAAAAATTGAATATTTTAGGTTGTAATTTTTTGGAAATAATAGAGGAAGGTACCCTGCCAGGGGCTCTTCTCGGAATTTTGCAAAATCTTGATAAATAATTATTGAAAAAAATGTTTAAACATTGGCAAAAAGGGGTTTCGTAAATTACTTCTCATCTTTAAAGGATAAAGTATTTCGAGTTGGCATTTGGAGGAATAATAGAGGAAGGGTCACTGAGTGGGGCTCTTCTCCATTTTTGCAATAATATTGTGAGGAAATTATTTTATTAAAGATTTAAAGTGGAGTAATTTGGGGTAAGTTAGTTCAGCAGCGGCCACTAGCTAAAATTGGCGCCACCTTCTGGGCCACTGACACATAGATTCAATGTCTGTGTGCTCGCCTCCCCTACTGTTCCCACTTCTGTCAAAAATCCAACTTTTATAATCACGATTTTCAATACTTTTCAACAAAATTACTTGTAAAAATGGAGATGATTCTTAATCAGCTCGCCCTCATCTAATTAATCCGACAAATCCGAACAAGATATTTCAAGTTATTTACGAGTAATATCTCGCGCGGGAAAACACTTTTAGGTTAGGGATTTTTCCCGGATGGCCTTAAATATTCATTTCGATTAAAATCGTTGTCGACTAATTAATTTTTTTTTTTTTAAGAAAAAATAAGAAATTATGAAAATTTGCGATTATCCAAGAAAAAAAAAATTATGAGCTTAAAAAAAATTTCGTACCTTTTTTTCAAAAAAATTTTTTAAATTTGACTAATTAAAAAAAAATTGCAAATTAAATCATTCTAGAAAAACACAATGAATAATTTCTGTAAAGTATCATTTTTAAAAATCGACAATAATTTTAATCTTGATGGAATGACCCAAAAATAATAATAATAATCAGTTAACTAAATTTTATTATTATTACTTTAATAATTGAGAGTTAGATTGAAAAAAATAATAGTTTTTTTTTTTAATGAACTAATAAGAAAAAGGTAACTTCAAAAATTCCGAAAAATTATTTTTATTTTGCGATTTTGCGTGTTTCCTTTTTTTTTTTTTAAATTTAATTTTATTAGTTAAATTTCGTAATGCACTTTGATTTTTAATCAATAGGGGACGCATTATATTTGCTAAAATTTATTATTAATTTGAATTTCCAATTTATTGAATTTCTTTTAAAGACAAATTTCTGATTAGTCAAATTTTATTGCAACTATAATTTATGTAGAATAATTAATTTATAAAATTGAATTTTCACATTGTTCTATTTTTATTACAACAAAATTTTTAACAAAATTTATAAATTTAAATAATTCTGTTAAAAAGCCTTGTGGAAATTTTTTTATTACACATGAAAATTCAAATTTTACATATTTGTATAACATTCAATTATTTAGAAATTCGATTTTATGAAATTTGAAACAACTTAAGAAAAAAAAATTCCAATTATATAATTACTATTTAGGGAATATTCATGAGTCCCTAATAGAATAAATTTATATATTTGCACAAAAAAAATTTCTTGAGAATTTTATTTTCACTGCTCTTTAACGCAACTTTTTCTCGTTGTTTTTTTTTCTTGTGACCTAATATTTCGTGTGCTTCTGTTTTTTTTTATTTAAAGTGAACTAATTGCTTTTTTTTTAATTTTTTTTTTTTTTTTAATGAATAAGAGTTTCGTCAAAAAATTTCCTAAGACTAAATCAATTTTTCTATTCGTTAATTTTTGTGAAATTTGATTAAATTTTCATTTAAAATAAAAAAAATTTATTTTTTAAATATTCGATCAAAAAATATTTAATTAGAAATTAATTTACAATTAATTAATAATTAATATCGTTATTGATAAATTTATTAATTGATTTTAAAATGTTTTATAAAAGAAAAAAAAATTTGGGACATAATTTATTTTATAATAATTAAAATAATTGTTTAAATAAAAATATTTATAATTATAAAAATTTAAATACTTAATAATAATAATAATAATAATAATAATAATAATAACAATAGTAATCACAAAAAATTAACGAAAATTAAAATTACTTTTAAATAAATAAATAAAATTTTTGGGTTACTAATTAATTTTCAAATTAATTTTTTTTAAAGATTTTAAATAATCAAAATTGTGGACGATTCAATATTGAAATTATTTTATGAAAATATATATTTTTTTAAAGCATGTGAAACTATTATTTATTGCAATTTAATTAATTTTGAAATTGAAAAAAAAAGAATCTTAAAATTTTTTTTGTTAATATTGTAGAACGTGTGTAGCTCGTCAATAATTATAATCTATTTACATTTTAATTATTGTATACATTCATCTCATCATCATTTTCATTTGCTTGCTTTATTTAAATGGCTTTCGAAAAAAAAATGCTTTCATGAAAAAAGATTAATTTACTTTCTTGTTAAATTAAATTATGAATTTTTTCATATTCACATTTTTCTATATATTATAATTTTTTTTGTTTTTTTATCAAAAAGAGGAAATCACCCTTTTTATTTAATGTACATATTGTGTATATATATATATATATTTATATTGTTTGATTGAATTTATATATTTTATTTACTATATATACTATTTAAGTTCTTTTTTTATAGGATTTATCGTTGTATTTTGAAAATTTGTATTTTAAAATTTTTCATGTACTGTAAATTATTTATTATTTATTTAATAATTCAAGAAGCTCACATAGAAAAAGTTTGAGCACATTGTAATTATAATTTTTTTTTTTAACGCTTTAACTAACGAAAATTATAAAATTACTAATTGTTAAAAATTTAAAACGAATTTTCGAATGGATAAATTTTGAAAAACAAAGTTTGGGAATTTTTTTTTTTTAATTTTACATGAATCTAAAAGGTTTAAATTTAATTACTATTTTATTAAATTAATTGGGATGTTCATTGTCCTAATAAAATTAAAAATCATATTAATTATTGAGCTAAGGTTTAAATAGTTGATTAATTTTTCAATAATATTGAATTCATTGGATTATAATTGAAAATTATAAATTTTTTATTAAATTGTTTTTTTTTTTACATTAATTTCGAATTATTTCCATTTTATTTGCAGTTACAAAATTATTTTTAATATTTTTTTTTTTTTTTAAACGTTATAATGTGTGATAAAATAGAGAAAAAAAAGTACTTTTAGATTTTCAGCACGCTACATTTTTTTTACTGCATTTTTACTGTTGCTTGAGCATTTTACTTTAGTTACAAAAGTTTGCAATAAAGAAAAATTAGTCATGCCATTACAATGTTATTTTTATGAATTTTTTCTGATTGAACAATTTCGGATTTTAGGATACAAAAATACAAAAAAAAAAAAAAAACGAAATTCTCTTCTTCACCTTTATTAATAATTATCAAAAATTAAATTCTAATAATTTATTTAATATTTATTCATTAGTTGACTAAATATTGAAAAAAAATTATTTTTTTTGTTCTGTTTGAATTTGTTACATTAAAAATTATAAAGTAAATTTTCGTAATGGCAGAAGAGACTTATTTTTCATTTGTGTCGCTTGCATATTAAACAATTTATAAGATTTATTGTAAATGAAACATTGAATAATAAACAGGACCCATTGGAGTTGCCGCGGCGGCCGCAATTGTTTCCGCTAAAAAACGAAAGAGACCTCATAGTTTCGAGACAAATCCCAGTATTCGAAAAAGACAACAAAACAGACTTCTCAGGAAGCTGAGAGTAAGTGAAACAATTTTTTTTTTAAAAGATAAAAATGTGATTAAAAATTTGTTACATTTCTTTTTTTTGGGGGGGAAATAATTAATATTAATTTGTTTTTTCTTTTTTTTTCATTAGCAAACAATAGATGAATTTGCAACGAGAGTTGGACAACAGGCAATTGTATTGGTGGCAACACCTGGTAAGCCAAATAGTAGTTACAAAGTGTTTGGTGCAAAACCATTGGAGGATGTTGTGAAAAATTTGCGTAATGCAATAATGGAGGAATTGGAAAATGCCCTCGCACAACAAGCGCCACCGCCTGTTCAAGACGATCCATCGCTCTATGAATTGCCACCGTTAATTATCGATGGTATACCAACGCCAGTTGAAAAAATGACACAAGCACAATTACGGGCGTTCATTCCGTTAATGTTGAAATATTCAACGGGCCGAGGTAAACCAGGATGGGGACGAGAAAGCACAAGACCGCCATGGTGGCCCAAGGAATTACCATGGGCGAATGTTCGAATGGACGCGCGATCCGAGGATGAAAAACAAAAGGTTCGGTTATTTTTTTTTTATTATATTAAATACTAGCAAAATTAAACGAGCGCCAAATTGAGTATTTAATTATTTGTTATAAAGAAATTAAAGATTAATATTATTAATAATAATTTAATTTATTAGAATATTATTACATATTAAATGATAATAATGAAAATTATATGTTTTACAGGCCTCGGATTAATTTTGATTAATTAATTAATTAATTTCGACTTTTTTTTCAAAAATACGACTTTTATCGACTTATTTTAATAAAATGCGACATTTTTTATTTACATTTGAAAAAAAATGTAAATAAAATACATTTTTTTAGTATAAAATGTAGATCTTTAGATCTTCTTCAATTCAAGAATTTAACAAATTTTGAACTAAATTGATTCTTCACTAAATTAATTATTTTTAATAATTTTAATGAAATACATCATAAATTCAATTATATCAAAATTATTTTTCAATTCAAATTTTTATGAAATTTAACAATTGTTTATAATTAAAAAAAAAATATCACAATAAAATTGAATTATTTTTTGAAAAATTTCAATTCAAAATAAACTAAAATTCAATTATTACCCGAAATTTTAATTCAAAATCAAATAAAATTCAATAATTATCAAAAAATTTCAGTTTAAAATTTAATTATTTACCAAATTTTCAATTTAAAATGAAATAAAATTCACTTGTTTTCTAAAATTTCTATTCAAAATTAATTATCCAAATTTTCAATCAAAAATGAACTTAAATAATTAAATTATTATCCAGAATTTCAATTATTTCCCAAAATTTTCAATTCAAAATCAACTCAAATTCAATTATTACAAAAAATTTTAATTCAAAATTAATTAAAAATCCAATTATTATCCAAAATTAATTATTATCAAAATTTTCAATCAAAAATCAACTAAAATTAAATTATTATCCAAAATTTCAATTGAAATTCAATTATTTTCCAAAATTTAAATTCAAAATCAAAGAAAATTCAATTATTTTCAAAATTTTCAATTCAAAATCAACTAAAATTAAATTATTATCCAAAAATTTAATTGAAATTCAATTATCTTCCAAACTTTCAATTCAAAATCAAACAAAATTCAATTATTTTCAAAATTTTCAATTCAAAATCAACTAAAATTTAATTATTTTCCAAATTTTTAATTTGAAATTAAAGAAAATTCAATTATTTTCCATATTTTCAATTTAAAATCAAATAAAATTCAATTATTACCCAAAATTTCAATTCGAAATCAATTAAAATTCAATTATTTCCCAAAATTTTAATTCAAAATTAATTAAAATTCAATTATTATACAAAATTTCAATTGAAATTCAATTATTTTTTAAATTTTCAATTTAAAATCAAATAGAATTCAATTATTTTTAAAAATTTCAATTTAAAATCAATTAAAATTCAATTATTTTCCAAATTTTCAATTCAAAATCTTTTAAAATTTAATTATTTTCCAAATTTTCAATTTAAAATCAAATAAAATTCAATTATTTTAAAAAATTCCAATAAAAATTCAATTATTTTCCAAATGTAAAATCAAATAAAATTTAATTATTCTCAAAAATTTGAATTCAAAATTAATTGAATTTTCAAAAATTTGAATTTAAAAGCATCTAAAATTTAATTATTTCTAAAATTTTCCATCGAAAATTTTTTTTTTTTGAAATTTCAGAGTGTCTAACGGTCAGGGTAGTCAGGGAAAAGTCAGGAAATTTCTGTAAATTTCTACAAAAATTAAAATTTTTTGTGAATTTAAAAATTTTTTAATTTAAAAAAACTTGAATGATTTTTATTACCATTTGTTACTACCATTAGAAATTAATTTATTGTTAAATATGTCAATAACCATATTTTTGTCCAAAAAAAGCAGAAATAAAGGGAAGTCAGAGAAAAATAAAAAAAATGTCAGGGAGGAGTCAGGGAAAAGTCAGGGAATTTTTTTCTCAATCCTTGTTAGACACCCTGAATTTAATAATTTCAATTATAACTCTAAGGAAATTCAATTATTTTTTTTTAACTATTTTAATAATATTCTTTGAAAATTCAACTATCTGAAACTATTTTTCAATTAAAAATGATTTTCAAATTATTGTATTTTGTCCGCATTTTCTAATAAATTTTTAGTGAAATCATCTCAAAATTTTAATTAAAAATCACTTAAAGTTTCAATTAATTTCAATAATCTCAATTTTAAATCTTTGAAAATTCAATTAAATTTAAAAAATGTTTTCCAAAAATTGTTTTTGATAAATTGTTTTTAGTTCTGTAAAATTTAATAATTGTTTGAAAATTAACAATAATTGAAATTTAATTATTTCTAAAAATTTCAACTTTAACCCCTCGAAAAGGATTATTATTAAAAAAAAAATTTATTTAAAAATCTGTAAAATATTTTTGTTAAAATAAAAAACAAATCCATTTTTTTTTGGAATATAAATCGACTAAAACGACTTTTTTTTGTGTCTTTAAGTTGATTCGAGGCCTGTGTTTTTATAATTAATATTTAATAGGTTATCGTTTGCCCCTGGTACCTTAAAAATTAATTTTTAAAAATAAATGTTTTTCAAATTACTATCTTGTACGAAATTTCCTGGCGCATCTTTTTTGCTCATCATAAATTTTTTGTATTTGTATACAATTTTTGAATCAATATACAACTTTAAAAAAAAATTTCGTTGGTAAACGTTGTGTACTTCAGCTTTGTGAATTGAATTTTCGAATTTGGAATTTTAAAGAAACTTATTCCGAAATTTGGAAACACAATTATACAACTTTGGCAAAAATGAGAAAAAGAATTGTCAAAATTTAACACGTCATAAGATTACTATTCAAAAAAAACACGTGAAATCAGAAAAGGCTAACTTCAAGTTAGGACAGAACAAGCATTTTATTATTATATAATGATTTCTTTCATTTTTGAAATTTTTTTTATAAATAAATATTTTTGAATTCACAGATATCATGGACACATGCGCTTAGGCAGATAGTGATAAATTGCTATAAATTCCATGGAAGGGAGGACCTTTTGCCGGCGTTTAGCGATGACGATGATAAATCGAATGTATTATTGCATCAAACGGTAGCGCAAACATCATCGCAAGGGCAAGGACAATCGCAACATCAGACGGTGGGAGTTGTTCGACTCAGCAGCACGGGTTCATCTAAGGGAAACTGCTCGCCACCGCAAATCATTGCCGCGTCACCCACATCTCTTGCCACTGCCACTCAGGTGGGAGTGGCATTCGTGAAAAACAAAAACGAATTTCCTTTTTTTTTTCCTTTTTTTTTTTTTTTTTTTTTCTTTATTCATTTTCTTCCCGTGAATTTTCATATCAAATAATGATACTGACATTTATCCAATATTTTTTTTTCTTCAAAATTTCATTTTTATTAGTTTTTCAAAGTTTTATTTTTTATTTTACTAAAAATTTACTTTTTATATTTTATCAAAAAAAAATTTTTATTTTACTAAAAAAATTAATTTTTTTATATTTTAGTGAAAAATTTTATTTTTCTACACTTTACGAAACTAATTTATTTTTTTTGTTATATTTTTCAAAATTTTTTTTTATTTTACTAAAAAAATTAATTTTTTTATATTTTAGTGAAAATTTTTATTTTTTTATACTAATACGAAACTAATTTATTTTTTTGTTATATTTTTCAAAATTTTGTATTTTTTATTTGCAAAACAAAAGAAAAAACAAAAAAAAAATTGACAATATTAACGCACGTATTGTGCGATTGTGATTGTTATAATTGAAAATTACGTGTTCACTGCGTGATATTTCATGGACGGAATATTCAGGCAAATGATAATTATGCTTTAAGCATTCTAATTTGTTCAAAGTAAAACGTACAAAATTATCTATCTCAAAACAATGAGAAAAACATAGTATAATTTTTGCAGCGATGCATTAATATAAATCCAAAACTCATTGGATCAAAAGAAAAGGAAATTAAATGAATTAAATGAAAAGCTCTGGGAATCAGAATTTTAATAATTAAAGAATAAATTGGGAATTTCTTTTTAAAGATACAGAATTTTTTTATCTAAAAAAAAAAGGAAATTAAATATTAAAATTTGACAATCGAGAATTTTTGGGAAATTAAAAATTTTTAATTAGGAAATGTAATATTTTTATTAATTATTTAAGGGATTTTTTCTAATTAAAAAATTATATATTTTTTTTTTTTGTAAAAGAAACTTAATATCAAAATTTAAATAATAAATATTTCTAATTGGGGAATTTTTAAAATTAAATTTTGCTGCAACTGAATTTTCATTTGAGAAAATATTTAAAAATTAATTAATATTTACGATATAATTTATTGGATATTTGTCAGCTCATTAAGCTTGTGTCGCGCTTATTTTCTTTTCGTTATTGCGTTTGGTGTTTATAGTTTCCCTTATGTTGAATTTGTTACTTTTTCTTCTCTTTTTCTTCTTATATATATATATAAAAATTCTTTTTATAAACATTTTTTTTATCACGCGAGCTTTTATAATTATTTGCATTTCACAATATTCATTAATGAGATTTATTATTATTATCATAGAACAATATAATAAATAAATTTATAAATTTTTGCAGAAATTTATAAATTTATTATTATAAAATAATATTTCTTTGAAGTTTTCTTTTTTTTTTTTAATCGTTTGTTATCTTTTTTTCTCAAAATAGTTGCAGTATCCAACGACAGTGCTTCAAACGATAACCAATCCAGATGGAACTGTTTCCCTTATTCAAGTTGATCCAAGCAATCCAATCATCACATTACCTGATGGAACCACCGCTCAGGTTCAAGGCGTTGCAACGGTAAGTCTATTTTGTCATTTTCTTTTTCTCTTTCTTTTCTTTGAATTTGTGCTTGCTTTTGAAAATTTTTTTTTTTTTATGCACCACACAAAAGTGAATATTATTTCTTCATTTCTTTTTTGATTCGATTTGATAAAAAAAAAAAAAAAAAAAAAAAATACACAAGAAATTTTTTAAAGTAGAGAATTTTGAAAATAATTTTTAATTTACATTTTTTTTTTTTTTTTGTTTCAAAATTAAATTCTTTTAAGAAAATTAATAAAATGACAATGCAAATATGAATAATAATTTCAGAAAATTCTGTTTTTAAATTAAACACAGTTTTGAAAGATTTAGATTTTTTTTTTTTTTGAATCGATTATTTAATTTTTTGTTCGTTATTGATTTTTTTTTATTGTATTTTTATTAGAAAATATTTGTTGTGCTTGCATGATTTTCTTAGAAGAAAAAAAAAACGTAGGGAAAATTTTTAACAAAAAAAAAAAGAAATAAATAATAGAACACATTTGTCACACGGCATTTTGGGCAAAATTAAAATTTTTTACAATATTTATTATTGAATACAGGCCTTGGATTATACTTTTTTCGATTTATTTTAATAAAATGCGACTTTTTCGACTTTTTTTTACATTTTTTTACAAAATTTTTAAACATAATACGTTTTTTTTTAGTATAATGCAAATCTTCTTTAGATCTTTTTTATTTCAATTATTTAACAAATTTTTAACTAAAATTCTTCACTAAATTAATTATTTTTAATAATTTTAAATGAAATTCTTCACAAATTCAATTATCTTAAACTATTTTTCAATTTAAATTTTTATGAAATTTAATAATTGTTTAAATTAATTTAAAAAAAAAATTAGCAAATAAAATTACCAAAAAATTTTTAATTCAAAATCACTTGAATTTTAATTATTTTCAATTTAAAACTTTTGGAATTCAATTTTTTTTTTTTATGTGATTTCTAATAAATTCTTCATCAACAGAAATCACTGAAAAATTTCTCTTATTATAATTATTGTCTGAAATTTAAAACAATTTTTTGAAAAAATTGAATTTAAAAGCTTGTAAAATTTAATTATTTCCAAAATTTTTCCATCTAAAATTTTTTGAAATTTAATAATTTTAATTATAACTCAAAATTCAATTATTTTTCATGATTTTTATAATATTCTTCGAAAATTCAACTATCCAAAACCATTTTTCATTTTAAAAGTTTTCAAAATATTATAATTTTGTCTGAAATTTCGAATAAATTTTTTAGTGAAATCATCAAAAATTTTAAATTGAAAATCACTTACGAATTTCAATTAATTTCAAAAATCAAAGTTTTTAATCTTTGAAAATTCAATTAATTTTTTAAAAATGTTATCAAAAATTATTTGATAAATTATTTTTAGTTACTGTAAAATTTAATTATTGTCTGAAAATGAACAAATTGAAATTCAATTATTTCTAAAAATTTCAACTTTAACTCTTGCAAAATAATTATATAAAAAAAATTATTTTTTTTTAAATCTGTAAAATTTGATTTGCCTGAAATTTTTTTCACCATCAAAACTAAAAATTGTGACAAAATTTTTAATTCGAATAAATTGCTTAAAATCGGACTTGAAAAAATTATAAAAATGGAAATTTAAGAATTACATTTACAGAATTAATAAAATGAATTTAATATCTAATAACATTAGTTATTTAAAGTAAAATATTTATTAACCAATTAAATTTTGTTAAAATAAAAAAAAAATCGATTTTTTCGACTTTTTTTTGGAATATAAATCGACTTTTTTTTTGTGTCTTAAAGTCGATCCGAGGCCTGCAGAATAAATAAATAAATCTAGGGCAAATTTTTTGTATTGCAGGATATAAAATTTAATTCATAAAAAAATATTTATTTTTTCCTTCAATGAACAATTAAATTATGAATAGAATTATTTTGATTATAATTAACAAAACTTTAAATGAAAATCGTGAATATAAAATATTTCGTAAAAACAAAAAGTAAAATAATTTTTCGACGTTATGGAATAAGAGAAAAGTGTTTTTGTTTTATTATTATAAAAAAAGGCGGTTTTTTTAAAAAAAATCATTTTTTTGTGGAATCATCCACTTTTTCACTATTTTTTGCAGGACGAACTTGAAAGATGTGTGGCGACCAAATTCATCATTGGGTTATAACCTCCGATAATAATTTGTGTTCTATTATAATTATTAGATTTAATTTGCACTTTCTGTACAGCATATAAAGCAAAATATAGACTTTTAAGTTTAGTCGAGTATTGTTTCTTTATTTTCGTTTATGCTAAAAAAAAAAAATCACGGATATCGAATATATTTATTCTCCGTTTTATTTTAGTTGTTTTCTCTAGAATAAGAATTAAAAAAAAATTATTGAATGTTGTAACGTTGGTGATGAATTTGGAATTTTCAACGTTTTATTATTTTCTTTTGTCGTTAATAATTTTCTTTTTTTTTGTTGCTTTCTTTCTATCGGAGATAGAATTTGTTCGATGTCGGTGTATAATTATTTACGTTTAATTAGTACATTTTCATAACGTTATATATAATTAAAATGTCAATTTCTTTTTTAAGCCTAATTACAATAATAAATTGTTTTTACTTTTTATTTGATCGTTACTTTTTTATTTAATTATTTTAATATTTATGTTTAGATTTATGTATTAAAATTTAAAATATTTTTATAATATTTTAGTTTATTAAAATAAACTCTAGGAGTTTATTTTTTAATTTATAAGTTGCATCATTTTAATAATGATAAATTATTAACACAAGAATGCGAAATTGCATGATTTTAGCTGAATTTTATTATTATATTTATAATGTAGAAATATTATTGTTTATTTTCTTAAATATGTTTAGTTAATAATATTCGAACAATATTTTCTAAGCTCTTTTTTAAAACAAAGAACTCTTGTAAAATATTTTAAAAGCTATTTTCATACTTTTTTTTTTATTTTTTTCAATTTTTTCTATAAAAGAGAATTGAAAAGTATTTACAAACAAAAAACGAACTGTAAAAGTTTGTTTCAATTTTTTTTCAATTTTTTACAGAAAATTTCAATTTAAAAAAATGTTATTACAAATAAAATTTATTTTTTGATTTCAATATTAATTAAATGTTAGTTGAGTAAAAATAACCAAAAAAGTAATTATTACGTTAAGTATAAGTTTATTACGTCATTTATTCTTTCTTATAGAAAAAAGTTATTATCATTTTATTTATTATTGTTATATATATATTTTTTTTAATTTTTAATTTAACCAATTTTTTTTTGAATTTTTTTTTCTCTACATAAAGAAAAAACTTTTCTTTTACCGAATTTTCGTTAAATTTACCTAATTTTATTTACTATAATTTTCATTTTACTAGTTTTTTTTTTTTACATTTAACTGATAACTTTTAATTTGACTAAAATGTTCTATACCCGAATTATTATTTTCCTGCATTTTTATTTATAATAATATTCATGTGACCGAATTTTCTGCATTTATTACTTTAACTTCCATGTTCTTTGCTTTTTTTTCATTTTGACAAAATTTATATTAAGTTCTATTTTTATTTTATTTGTTATTTCTATTTTTATCATAATTTCTATATGTGACAAAATTTTCCTTTGACCGAATTTTCAATTAAATGTATATTTTTTTTTATTATAATTTCCATTTTTAATATGCTATAATTTTCATTTGACCGAATTTTCATTTAAATTTATATATTTTTTTTTAATTACAATTTCCATATTAATTTTTTATTTGAATTTCCCTTTAACCGAATTTTCATTTAAAAGTATATTTTTTATTATAATTTTAATTTGACCCAATATATTCCTCCGAATTTTTATTTAAATGTGTGTTTTTTTTATTATAATTTACATTTTTGATTTTCCATTTTAATTTATATTAAATGTCACTTTTTATTCGATATAATTTTTAAGTGATCGAATATTTCTTTCACCGAATTTTGATTTAAATTCATATTCGTTTTTTCCAATTTTCATTAAACCAAATTTATATTTAGTTCCACTTATTATTTTCTCTAATTTTTATTTGAACCGAACATTACCGTGAGCGAATTTTCAATGACCAAATTTTTCTTTGACCTAATTTTCATTGAACCAACTTTTTCTTTGACCGAATTTTCATTGACCTAATTTTTATTTGACCGAACATTACCGTGACCGAATTTTCATTGACCAAATTTTTCTTTGACCTAATTTTCATTTGACCAAATTTTTCTTTGACCTAATTTTCATTTGACCAAATTTTTCTTTGACCTAATTTTTATTTGACCGAACATTACCGTGACCGAATTTTCATTGACCAAATTTTTTTTTGACCTAATTTTCATTTGACCAAATTTTTCTTTGACCTAATTTTTATTTGACCGAACACTACCGTGACCAAATTTTTCTTTGACCGAACATTACCGTGACCGAATTTCCATTGACCAAATTTTTCTTTGACCTAATTTTCATTGAACCAACTTTTTCTTTGACCGAATTTTCATTGACCAAATTTTTCTTTGACCTAATTTTTATTTGATCGAACATTACCGTGACCGAATTTTCATTGACCAAATTTTTCTTTGACCTAATTTTTATTTGACCGAACATTACTGTGACCGAATTTTCATTGACCAAATTTTTCTTTGACCGAACATTACCGTGACCGAATTTTCATTGACCAAATTTTTCATTGACCAAATTTTTCTTTGACCTAATTTTTATTTGACCGAATTTTCATTGACCAAATTTTTATTTGACCGAATTTTCATTGACCTAATTTTTATTTGACCGAACATTACAGTGACCGAATTTTCATTGACCAAATTTTTATTTGACCTAATTTTCATTTGACCAAATTTTTCTTTGACCTAATTTTTATTGAACCGAATTTTTTTTTAATCTTTAATTTATCTTTAATCGAATTTTTATTCTTGCTCTTAACTTTCATGTGACTAAATTTTTCAATTTAATTGCTTTTATTATTTTCTGCAAAAAACAAATGTGAATTTTTTCATTTTACTTTTTTTGCAAATTTATTTCAGTTTTGTATTTGTTTTCTCTACTTATTTATTATTTTTTTTTTGTTTTTTTTTGGGAGAATTGAACATATTGTGGATCTAAAAAAACTCGATATGTTTAGATACACACGAGTCAAGGAGAGGTTCAAACATTGGCGGAAGTTACCGGTGGAGCTGAAGGCACAGTTTCCGTTGATTTGAACAGTGTGACGGAAGCAACATTGGGACAGGATGGACAAATTATTCTCACCGGCGAAGATGGACATGGTAAAACTGTTTACTATAGGCTCTGCACCGTCGCCAGCCAGGAAGCCATGGAGGAGTGATTCCTGACTTAATTTTTTGTTCCTATTTTTTTTTTGTTTTTTAAATTTTTCCTCCTCTCTCTCTCTCTATATATATTTTTTTTTGCATCTAGTTAGATCATGTCTCTAAGCTATTATTGTGGTAATTTTTTTTTTTTTTTTTTTTTGCATGCTGTCTTGAAAAGTGAATTTCTTTTTTGTTTTTTATAGGAGGAAAAATATGAAACAAAATGACGAGAGAATGAATGTGTCAAAAGTTTTGAAAATGGAGAAAAAAAAGCTTTAAGAATCCAATGAGATTTCTTTTTTTTTTTTTTTAAACAATTAAATGTCCATTAATATTTCAATAATTGATAATTTTTTTCTAATTGTGATTCTAATTGTTCAATTATGAAATTTGAAAATTATTTTATATTACAAATTTTTTAATTCAAAGAAAAATAAAAAAAAAAACTATGAAAATAATTTTTAATTTATAATTTAAATTCCTTTTTATAGTAGAAATTTGAACAATTAAAAAAAAAAAACGAAACATTGTAAAAAAATTAAAATGGATTCTTAAAGCTTGACCCTGGTGAAACGATTTCTCTAAAGTATTCACAGGGTTTTAGTAAATTTTTTTTTTCAAACTAAAAAGCAACAAAGGAAAACAAAGTACGAAAGCAAAAATTGCTTTTTGTTAAATTCTTGATTTTTTTTTTAGGGAAATTTTTATTTCATGTCTGGAAATATACAAAAAAATTTTTAATATTTTTTTGCAATTTTTGATTTTATTAAGACGAATAATTTGAGAGAAATTTTTTTCACCAGTGAGTCATTAAAATAAGCAAACAACGAAAATGTTTTATTATTATGATTATGAATAATAATAATAATAATGATAATAATAATGATAATAAAAAAATATTATTATTATTACAATTAATATCGATAAGATTATAATATTAATCTTGAGAAAAAAAAGAAAACAAAAATAAAAGCAACTGTACATAGATTTATTTTTTGGATTTTTCTTTATTTTTTTCGAATGAAGGGAAAATTTCGATAAACTTGTAATTTTAATTAATTAGCAATTATTTGATTTATTAAATTATTAAATTAGGATTTTTTATAATTGTTGTTTTTTTTTAAAATTAATTGTTTGCGTAAAAAATTTGAATGTTTTTTTTTTTAAATGACATTTTTACTTTTAGGAGTAAATTATTTTAATTATTAATAATTAAATGTGTTATAAAATTTGATTAAAAAATAATTTTTATTAGTTAATTATTGATTTTAATTCGTTTTTGAACTTTTATCAGTTTTTTTTTCATTAGAAGTAAGAAATTTTTTCAATTTTTTAAAAAAGCGGAATTTTTCGTCTCGTAATTGTAGAATTTTTTTTTTTAATTACATATTTCGTAGATTTGAATATTTTTTCTAATTGTTGTTGACTTCTCTGGTGAAAAAATTTCTCTTTCTATTTTTGTGGATTTTCTTTTTTTTTTCTTTTTGATCATATAGTTTGATAAGTTTGTTTTAAATTGAATTCATGTTATTTTTTTTTATTTTTTATTTCAAGACTTGAAAGAATTCTATTTTAAGAGATTTTTTCAAATTTATAACATTAATTTAAAAGAAAAAATTTTTTTTTAATAATTGTAAATATTCCTATTTATTTAATATTTAAGTTTTGCTAATTTATGACTTAAATTTTATTAATTAAATTATTTTTCTTTATTTATTTATTTTAATTTTTTTATTTTAAAATTTATTTACTTATTAATTTCTCATGATTTAAAATAAAATAGATTCTAAATTCGATTAATTAATAAATTTATTGAAAAATCTGCAAAATATTTTGCATATTTCTTTGACATTGAAAATATGCAAATTTAGAGAAATTTTTTCACTTGAAATTGAATTATTTCATTATAATTTTTGCCCTAAAACTATTGTGGTCTATTTTTTTTTGGAAAATTTCGATAAAATATAATTTAAAAAAAAAAATAATAATATTCAACTTACCTATGTAAAATATAAAAAATTAGGTTTCACTATTTGACGCCACTATTGCTTTCATCAGAAACTATCAAAAAAAAATTAAATTAAATTAAAAATTAAAAAATTGTAAAATTTTACAAATATTTCAAAAAAAAAATTATAAAGAACTAAAAAAATTACCGAAAAGAAAATTTCAGGTAAAACTTTACTGTATTCAACTCAAAAGTATGCGATTAACTGATGAAAATATAAATAATTGATCAATAAATGTATTATTTATAAAAAGAGCAAGTCAGTCAACTTTTTCGAAAAAAGAAACAAAAGAATCAATGCCGTGATATATATAAATATATTTAAATAAAAAATAAGTGTTTACTGAAATAATTAGAAAAAAAATTTTCAACTAAAAATTAATAATAATAATAATAATAATAATAATAATAATAATAATAATAATAATAATAAGAATTTGGTAAAAATGAAATAATGCATTTTTTTACGTTTTATTATTATTTAAATAATATTTTAACGTAAAGAAAGAAGTTTTTTCATTAAAATTGTTAATGTAAAAAAATTTAAAAAAAAGAAATACTTAACGATAAAGTAATACTTTGTCTGGTGAATTTAAATTTAGATTTAAGCAGGTATAAATTAAATGCATTTTTTTTATAAAAGCAGAAATTCATTGTCTTCTGTTTTTTGTATTATTTATTTATTTATAAAAAACACTGATATATTTATTGATCAAATTTTATTTTTATTTACAAAAGTTAATCACATTCTCATTGTATTTATCATATTAATGTTTTATTAAAATATTTTCTTTTTCGTACAATGGAATTTAAAAATTGAAAATGAAATTTTTATTAAAATTAAGATTAAAATTTAAAAAAAAAACGAAATTTTCTAAATATAGTCCACAATGAACTTTGGATAAAAATATAATGGATTGAATCGATTGTCAAAAATTTTGACGCTTTTTATTAGCACGTGTGTCGTATTAGTGTTTCACTGATAATAGAAAAAAATTTTCGTAGTCTTTCTTTTTTTCTTTTTTTTGTTCAAGAGTCTCATGAATAAATCTCTAAAATTCAATAGTTAGAATTTTTATTCGATATCTAGAAATTTTTTTTTTATGATAAATTCTCTAAATTTTCATTTAATGGAATTTTTATTCCATTTTTTATTAAAAAAAAAGGGAAATTTTAATTTAACCGAATTTTTATTTAGCTGAATTTTAAAACTAACCAATCGGAAAATTATTGGAAACAATTTTTTATTTAAATTGAATTAAATAGAAATTATTTTATTAAATAAAAATTCTATTAAATATAAAATTCTATCAAATAAAAATTTTATGAAAAAAAATTTTATTAAAAATTTTAATAAACAAGAATTTTGTTTAAAAAAAGAAAAATTTTATTAAATATAAATTCTATTGAATAATAATTTAGTAAACTTAAATAATTAAAAAATATTAAATTCAATAATTTGTTGTAAAAATAATTTAAATAAAAATTTTTAAATTTTAAAAATAATAATAATTCATTTAAATATAAATTCTGTTTAAAAATTCTAACTAATGAATTTTTGATCTTAATCATGTATTCTCTTTTTTTTTTTTTTGTAATGAAGAAAAAAAGAAAGAAGAATAATGTAGTTAATTATATAGTTATCGAAGATATTTATCTGCGATTCCATGAAAAATTAGAAACATTTTAAAGTGACTTCATCAATTTAAAATATGAAACTTGATAGTATATATTTATTTCTAGTTTGAGAAATTAAAAATTTTAAATCAAAGAGAAGAATAGAAATAAAAATTTCTAAAATCCTCAGTGAATTTAAAAAAAAAAATTTTTTTTCTACGAAAGAGGAATATTTTGAACTCTAAGCCAATTTAGTTCTCTATAAATTAATTATTATTAATTATCTATTAATTAATTATTTAATTCTCGATTTTTGTTCTCTACATTAAGGGGAGAAATTTAAATTTAAACTTCTGTTTATTAATTCTAAAAAAAAAAAATTATAAAGTTTCATTAAAAAATTAATGAAGTTACTCCAAAAATAAGTGAATCGCTTTTTTTCGTCGTTAGTGTGAATTATCGAAAAAAAAAATCACGCCCCAAAAAGTAGGGTAAAAAAAAAAAAAAAAAAAAAAATTCGGCAGAATCGAGGACACTCCTTTCCGGTGTTTCAGGATATCCAGTGTCAGTTTCTGGCGTCATCACTGTACCAGTTTCCGCCAGTATGTATCAAACAATGGTGGCAAATATTCAAAGCGATGGCACCATGCAAGTTGTCACGCCAATGGTTCAAGTACCAAAAATTGAGCCAGGCAATAATGAGGCGAGCATTGAGGCTGTCACGATACAAGGTCATCCAATGACAATGATAAATGCCAACGGTGAACATCAAGTTCTTCAGGTGATTTCACTTAAGGACGCCAATGTTCTTACCAAGGCAATGCAAGGTGAAATCATCAAAGACGAGGATAGTCAACAACAACAAATTGTCTCCAGTCCAGAGTAAAAAAAAGAAAAAGAAAAAAAAGAAAAAAAAAGAGAGAGAAAGGAAAAATCTCAAGAGGCTCTTCGAATTCTCCTCTTGTTTAACCCTCTTTAACGCATTTGCAACGTTTATTAAACGTTATTTTATTTCTATTTCATTTTTTGCATTTATTTTTATTTTTTTCTCTCATTTTTTAAAAAAAAACCCTAACAGGTAAGATTTATGCAAATTATTTGTATTTCTCTTTTTTTTTACAAATATTCTGTTTTTGTAATATTAATTTGCAAATTCAATTATGATTCAATTTAAATTAATAATTTTGATTTAATTATTAATTTTAACTGATAATTTTGATTGAAATTATTAATTTAAACTAATAATTAGGATTTAAATTATTAATTTAAGTTAATAATTTCAAAAATTTCTCATAAAAATCACTAATTCGAATTTTTTTTCAAAATTTTTTATTAGAAATATTTTCTAGACGAATTTTCATTTTTCGAATTAGCATTTGAGGGAATTTTTTTTTTTTTTTTACTTAAATTTTTATATAAAAAAAAAATGTTTAGCTATCCAACTTTTTCATTGGTAGAATTTTTTATTTTACATTTATTTTCTTTACATATGACTTTTTATTGAAACTAATTTTAATTTAAGAGAATTCTCATTCAATCGAATTTTATGTTTTTATTTTATTATTATTATTTTGTCAAAATTTTAATTGACAGAAATTCCAAATCATCAAATTTTAATTTGTCCGAAATTTTATTTATACGAATTTTTAAGTCTCCGAATTTTCATTTGTCCGAATTTTTATTTATACGAATTTTTGAAGGCGCCGAATTTTCATTTGTCCGAATTTTTATTTATACGAATTTTTGAAGGCGCCGAATTTTGATTTGTCCGAATTTTTATTTATACGAATTTTTGAAGGCGCCGAATTTTGATTTGTCCGAATTTTTATTAATACGAATTTTTGAAGGCGCCGAATTTTGATTTGTCCGAATTTTTATTAATACGAATTTTTGAAGGCGCCGAATTTTTATTTATACGAATTTTTAAGTCTCCGAAATTTCAAATGTCCAAACAAACAATCGACAAAAAAAAAATGTATTCGGCGTAATTTTTTAAAATTTGACCAATTAAAAATTGTCAAAAAAAAAATCGTGATTGGTCAATTCCAAAAATTTGCGCCAAATTTTTTCAGTCGATTTTTTTATCCGGACATTTGTAATGTCGTACAAATGAAAATTTGTATAAATAAAAATTTGGACAAATTCGCATTCGGCGTCTTAAAAATTCGTATAAATAGAAATTCGAACAAATAAAAAATTCGGCGTCTTAAAAATTCGTATAAATAAAAATTTGGATAAATTAAATGTCGGTGAATTGAAATTTCAGTCATTTAAAAATTCGAATCACATAAAATTCAATTGAATGCGAATTTTGATAAATTAAAATTCGATTAAATTAAAAATTCTTTAACGAAAAAAAAAATTCTTTTAAAAAAGAAAGTCATGTAAATTAAATTGACTAGAAAATAAAAAAAAATTCGTCGAAATATAAATTCGGTAGCTAAAAATTTAGTCAAAAATTCGTCTAATTCCGTCAAATTCGAAAATTGATTTTAAAAAAATAAAATTTGTATTAAAATATATTAAAATAAAAATTCGAATTCGAATTGAAAAAAAAATTCGCCCCGTAATTAAAATTAAAAATGATTAATTTCTATATAAATTATTAAATAATTAAATTTGTGAATTTTACAATTAATTGTCAATTATTGACGATTTGAATTTATCAGTTAAATTTTTTTTTTTTTAATTAAATTTTTTAAGAAAAATTGAAGAAATTTTGAGTGTAAATTGTTTATATTAATGACGAGTTTTAATTTAATTGTGCCATAGTAGATTTAATTACAATTCTTTTTGTTTTTATTTTTTTTTTTTGTTTAAAACTATTGTGTATTGTATGCAATCTTTAATTAATAATTAATCTATTAATCTTCTTTTATTTCAAATATTAATATTTGAAAAGAATTTTTAAAGAAAATTACAAAGATAGTGTGTAAAAATTTTTTTTTTTGAAATTTTATTAAATTTCTATAAACGAATATTTTATTTTCTCTAATTATTAGGTATTGTTTTTTTTTGTTTTATTTCCTTTTCACGAGTTGCATTAAAAATTGATCACAAAAAATAAAATTTCAAATACTTGATTAGTTAACTATTAAATTATTATTTTTTTTTGTTTGGATTCGATTTCTTCGCAAAAAAAAATTTGAAAAATATATTTTTAAACTATAAAAATTTGTTTTTTTTTCAAATAAGAAAATTTAGAAACAAAAAACATTTTTTTGATTAATTTGACATTTTTTCTTTTTTAGCTAAAAAAAATGGCGTTGCGATTGCGTTTTTAGGGTACGCACTGTGTGTTAATGTCTTAAGTACCAAACGGAAAAAATGAAAAAAAAAAAAAAAAAAATCTTTTTTTAAGTAGTTCGTGACAGTAATTTTTCACTGTGTATAATTCTAACTTTAAGGGAAATCATGCGTTTTTCAAATAAAAACAAAAATAAATAAATAAAAAAATAAAAAAAAGCTGACACAAAAAACATGGAAATGAAAAAGAGAAAAATACAATTTTTTTTATTCACAATATTTTCGGAACTATTACCGAAAATTATTGTTGTTTCGTTGGATTTAGAAAAAATGCGGGGAAAAAATAATTTACACCTTAAACAGCTAAAAAGGTAAATTTTTTTTTTTCTCCTCTGTACAATATTACAGAGAAAATATTCTAATGGCTATTTCAATGAAAACATTTTAGCTGTTTTAGGTATATTGTTTTTTTTTGCGTTCGTATTAAAAAAAATTATATATATATATATATATAAATGAGTGTGCTTTGTGAAATGATGCGTGTGTAGTCTGTGAAAAACAAAAAGAAAAAAAGAAAAAAAAAAAAAAAAAAAAAAAACCGAAGACTTGGGTCTAGAATTTTCATTCTCTTAATTAAATTTTTGTAATTAAATTTGTTAACAAAAAATAATTATGTATTAAGAATTAATTCGTTAAGGCGCTTCTATTTTTAATTTTAAAATTTACGAAGCAATTTTAAATTATTTTTTTTTATTCAATTTTCTTGAAAATTTCTGGATCCGTTACTTAAAATTTGGTACTTATTAGTAGAATTTGTTTTGTTTTTTTTTTAATTATTCGAATAATATAATTAAATTAAATAATATTTAATTTAATATTAATGTGTCAAAGTGCAATATTAAGAAGAAGAAAAAAAAAAAAGTTTTTTGTTATTTAAAAAAAAAAATTGTCTGTGTACCTTTTCAAGTTCCGGATTCAAAATTCCTTTACATTGAAAATTCAAATAAAAGGAACAATAATTTTAATGCGGTTTCTTTTTCTTTTGTTTGTTTTTTTTTTTAGAGAAGAATATTTAATGTGATTTGTAAATGTTGTGTAGAAATTAGTCAATTTTTTTATTTGTATTTTTTTTTCGTTGTTTTTTTTTTTAGAAAAATAAACGGTTTTTTATTCTCTGGAGATGATGTGTGTAAGAATGTGATTTAGTTGAGTCCAAAAAGATAATTTAAAAACAAAAATTTCCAAAATATTGCAGATTTATTTTTGTTCATTATTTTATTTTTTTAATTTTCTTTTCTAGAAATATTTTTTCGAAAATATTTAATATTTGTAATTAAATATTTTTATATTTGTAATAAAAAAAAAAAATTTGGGTAAAATTATTTTTTTGGACTAAACTAATTAAGAACGTAACACCACTTTCGCATTATATTAACGAAAAAAAAAACGCAGATATAATAGAGAGGCTAAGAATTTCTGACGGGTACAAATAGAAAATAAGATTTTCGAATAAAATTCGAATTTCTAACAGACACAAAAAAACACATACACACACACACATAAAAAAAATCATTGGGAAATAATTTATTTTGTAATTTCTATTAAGGATTTTTCTTTCAGAAAATTTTTTGATAAATTTTTTTTTTTAAAACCAAATAAAGAGATGTTTAGAAAAAATTTTTTCCGAAAATTATTTTTTTATAAAAATTTTCTGTTTTACGAAAAAAGGTTTATTAAAAAAAATTCTCGACAATTTGTTAAAAAAAAAATCGCGTTTCAATGATTGCCGGGCTCTAAAAAATAATAAAAAAAAAAACTGCATTTAAATAGTAAGTCAATTTTTTTATTTAATTTTTGAACCTCGTTCTTTCCTTCTTTATAAAAAAAAAACAATTTTCTTTAATTAAATTATTTATACTCTTCATTTTTTTTTTATACAATTTTGAAAAATAAGATTGAGCAAATTTTTATCAAAATCCGTATACATATCAAAAAAGAATTTTTAAAAATAAAATTTTTTTTTTTGGAAAAAAAAATTAGAAATTAAATATTTTTAAAAAGAAGGAGAATGAAGTTCAAAAATAATATTTTGGCGAGGGACTTAAATAATTTTTTTTTTTCTTTTTTTTTGGGTGAAAACGATGAAAGAGAGAAAGATAATTGAATTTTGTGCGTCGACGGTGTAACGTAGTTAATTAAATTTAATTATATGACATTTATATTCACTAGAGACGATATCATACGCTTAGGGATCATGTTGTTGTATTATTTAAAAAAAAAAGAAAATTTAATATGGTCAGTGAAAATGAAAAAAACAAACACAATCATCTATAAGACACAAGCCCTTAGTATTTATTATTAAATTTACATAATAATAATAATAAAGTAGGATCTTGTTGAAGGAGATCTGAAATTTCCTTGTCAACTATCCTCCGTTTTTAGTCTCGGAGATAACATGAAAAAAAAACTCCCCCAAAGAATTCACCAAAAGTATAACATTCGAAATTCACACTTATCTCTTCTTGATAATATAATGTATAAAAAAAAGAGAATTTTACAAAAATTCTTCACACAAATTTTAACGAACATATTTTCTTTTTAAAAAAAAAATCAATTATTAATTTTTCTATGAATTTATGTTAAACTATTTAAATTAACATAATTTAAATTTTTATCATAATTAATTTATTTTAATTTAAAAAAAAAAAATTGATTGGAAGAATAAAATCACAAATGTGTTCCAATTTGTGTTGTAAATATGAAAAAAGAAATTCTGTTTTTTATTAAATAAAATTGAATTTTTTTTTTTTTTCCGATGAAAATAGAGAAAAAGGGATAAGAGTTAATTTCGAATATTGTAAATGTATGTACATGACCTCATCATTGGATGCCATGTAATGTTTATTGTAAATACGTCGTCGGTGTGTCACATTTTTGAGCTTTGCATTATATTTTCGGTGTCAAATGGATACCGAGTTCAATAGCATAATGGATTTAGATTTAATTTAAGATACCAACGGAAACAAAAATATTAAATATAATATACATATATATAATAATCTCTGGTGTTTGTTCAATATTTGTATTTTTATTATTCTGTTTTTTATTTTTTTTTTTAGAGAAAAAATTCTCTTTTAGTTTTTTTTTTTCTAATAAAATTTTCATATTCATTTTTGTAATATCAAATTATTTAATATAAATATATTTACAATTTTAAGTAATATAATATTATTATAACTAGAAAAATTAAACGCGCGCAAGCGCGCCAAATTGAGTATTTAATTGTTTGTTATAAAGAAATTAAAGATTAATATTATCAATAATAATTTAATTTATTAGAATATTATTACATATTAAATGATAATAATGAAAATTATATGTTTACAGGCCTCGGATTATACGACTTTTTCCGACTTTTTTTCAAAAATACGACTTTTATCGACTTATTTTAATAAAATGCGATATTTTTTTTTACATTTGAAAAAAATGTAAATAAAATACATTTTTTTAGTATAAAATGTAGATCTTCTTCAGATCTTCTTCAATTCAATTATTTAACAAATTTTGAACTAAAATGATTCTTCACTAAATTAATTATTTTTAATAATTTTAATTAAATACATCACAAATTCAATTACATATCAAAATTATTTTTCAATTAAAATTTTTATGAAATTTAACAATTGTTTATAATTTATAAAAAAATATCACAATAAAATTGAATTATTTTTTGAAAAATTTCAATTCAAAATAAAGTAAAATTCAATTATTACCCGAAATTTTAATTCAAAGTCAATTAAAAATCCAATAATTATCCAAAATTTTAAAATTTAAAATTTAATTATTTACCAAGTTTTCAATTTAAAATGAAATAAAATTCAATTATTTTCTAAAATTTCTATTCAAAATTAATTATCCAAATTTTCAATCAAAAATGAACTTAAATTAAATTATTATCCAAAATTTCAATTAAAATTCAATTATTTCCCAAAATTTTCAATTCAAAATCAACTCAAATTCAATTATTTTCCAAATTTAAAATCAAATAAAATTTCATTATTCTCAAAAATTTGAAATCAAAATTAATTGAATTTTCAATAATTTGAATTTAAAAGCATCTAAAATTTAATTATTTCTATAATTTTCCATCGAAAATTTTTTTTTTTGAAATTTAATAATTTCAATTATAACTCTAAGGAAATTCAATTATTTTTAACTATTTTAATAATATTTTTTGAAAATTCAACTATCTGAAACCATTTTTCAATTAAAAATGAGTTTCAAATTATTGTATTTTGTCCGCATTTTCTAATAAATTTTTAGTGAAATCATCTCAAAATTTTAATTAAAAAACACTTAAAGTTTCAATTAATTTCAAAACTCTCAATTTTAAATCTTCTTCAATTCAATTATTTTACAAATTTTGAACTAAATTTATTCTTCACTAAATTAATTATTTTTAATAATTTTAATGAAATACATCACAAATTCAATTATATCAAAATTATTTTTCAATTAAAATTTTTATGAAATTTAACAATTGTTAATAATTTAAAAAAAAATATCACAATAAAATTGAATTATTTTTTGAAAAATTTCAATTCAAAATAAACTAAAATTCAATTATTACCCAAAATTTTAATTCAAAATCAATTAAAAATCCAATAATTATCAAAAATTTTCAATTTAAAATTTAATTATTTACCAAGTTTTTAATTTAAAATGAAATAAAATTCAATTATTTTCTAAAATTTCTATTCAAAATTAATTAACCACATTTTCAATCAAAAATTAACTTAAATTAAATTATTATTATCCAAAATTTCAATTAAAATTCAATTATTTCCCAAAATTTTCAATTCAAAATCAACTCAAATTCAATTATTACCAAAATTTTTAATTCAAAATCAATTAAAATTCAATTATTATCCAAAATTAATTATTATCAAAATTTTCAATCAAAAATCAACTAAAATTAAATTATTATCCAAAATTTCAATTCAAAATCAAAGAAAATTCAATTATTTTCAAAATTTTCAATTCTAAATCTTTTAAAATTTAATTATTTTCCAAATTTTCTATTTCAAATCAAATAAAATTATTTTCAAAAATTTTTAATTCAAAATCAATTAAAATTCAATTATTTTTAAAAATTTCAATACAAAATTAAACATAAAATTTAATTATTTTGAAAATTTTTAATTCAAAATCTTTTATAATTCAATAATAATATCCTTGTTAGACACCCTGAATTTAATAATTTCAATTATAACTCTAAGGAAATTCAATTATTTTTAACTATTTTAATAATATTCTTTGAAATTTCATCTATCTGAAACCATTTTTCAATTAAAAATGATTTTCAAATTATTGTATTTTGTCCGCATTTTCTAATAAATTTTTAGCGAAATCATCTAAAATTTTAATTAAAAATCACTTAAAGTTTCAATTAATTTCAAAAATCTCAATTTTAAATCTTTGAAAATTCAATTAAATTTAAAAAATGTTTTCCAAAAATTGTTTGATAAATTATTTTTAGTTTTGTAAAATTTAATAATTGTTTGAAAATTAACAATATCTGTTGAAATTTAATTATTTCTAAAAATTTCAACTTTAACCCTTCGAAAAGGATTATTATTAAAAAAAAAATTTTTTTATTTAAAAATATGTAAAATATTTTTGTTAAAATAAAAAACAAATCCACTTTTTTTTGGAATATAAATCGACTGAAACGACTTTTTTGTGTCTTTGAGTTGATTCGAGGCCTGTGTTTTTATAATTAATATTTAATAGGTATTCATTGGCCCCTGGTACCTTAAAAATTAATTTTTAAAAATAAATTTTTTTCAAATTACCATCTTGTACGAAATTTCCTGGCGCATCTTTTTTCTCATCATAAATTTTTTGTATTTCTATACAATTTTTGAATCAATATACAACTTTAAAAAAAAATTTCGTTTTTAAATGTTGTGTACTTCAGCTTTGTGAATTGAATTTCGAATTTGGAATTTTAAAGAAACTTATTCCGAAATTTGGAAACACAATTATACAACTTTGGCAAAAATGAGAAAAAGAATTGTCAAAATTTGACACGTCATAAGATTACTATTGAAAAAAACACGTGAAATCAGAAAAGGCCAACTTCAAGTTAGGACAGAAGGACAGACCAAGAATTTTATTATTATATAATTATAATAATTAAATTTTACAGTATTGAAAATAATTTATCAATTATAATTTTAGATAACATTTTTTTTAAATTAATTGAATTTTGAAAAATTTACAATTTAGATTTTTGAAATAAATTGAATTTCAAGTGATTTTTAATTGAAATTTTTTGTTGATGACGAATTTATTTCAAATTACAGAAGAAATTGAATTTTAAAGTTTTAATATTAAAAAATGCTTTTAAAAATATGTAATTGAATTTTTGAAAAATATAAAAATCATTAAATTTTGAATGAGTTACAGTTGATATTTTAATAAATAATTAAATTTTAAAAGGTTTTAAATTAAAATTTTTGCAAATAATTGAATTCAAGTGATTTTGAGGGGAAATTTTTTGATGATTTTTGTTGCTAAAGAATTTTGTTAAAAATTAAAGACAAAAATTGAATTTAAAAAATTTTTTAATTGAAAAATACTTTCGAATAATTGAATTTTCGAAGAATATTATAAAAATCATTAAAAAATTGTATTTTAAAAGAATTATAATTGAAATTATTAAATTTCAAAAAGGTTTAGATGCAAAATTTTTTTGAAAATAATAAAATTTTAAAAAGTTTTAAACTGAAATAATTGTTAATTTTACAAATTATTAAATTAAATTTTCTAATCCTTGGCCTGTAATTAGAAAAAAAAATTACACTTTAAATGAAATTGGGTCTGAAAATGAAATTGAAAAATTACTATTTTTTTTCTCTTGTAAATAAATTTTTATTAACGAAATACGCAAAGTAACAGCGATATTTCAAAAATTACTTTAATGAGCTAAATTTTCAATTAATTGATGTAATCAGGACTTGATGATGTATTTATATATTAGTTTCTAGTGGACTTTAAAGACTAGGTGAAACTTAACATAGTCCTATTTGCTTTTTTTTTTTTTTTTTGTTTTTTTTTCTTCTCTTTTTTCTTAATGAATATCATAAACATTCTGAAGCGCTAATTCAGGTTTATCGTATCCCAATTCTTCGGGTGTATTAATTCCCAATTCATCTAAAGTGGGTCGAATTTCTTGAAGAATGTAGGGATAAAATTTGTCGAGTTGATCGCCACATTTGAATTTCACCACTTCCATAAATCTTATTGCAACAGCAATATCATTTAAGCGTCTGCATGCCTTTAAAGCAGCAATAATAATTGCTGGATCGGGAACCATGTCCATACCTTGAATTAAAAAAATTTTTTTTAAATTTATTTAAAGTACTTCAAAAAATAGACAAAATTTTTTTTTTTCTAAAAAATTATTTTTTAACTACTTAACATTAAATTTTAATTAATGTTTAAATTAACATGAAATTTAAACTAAATTGACTTTTTTAGACTAATTTTTGTTTTAAATTTAAAAAAGTAAATTTAATTTTTAAATTAGATAATTAATTATTATGTACAAAAAATTGTAAATTTTTAGAATTTTGAAAAAAATATTCTTTTGTCGATGTTTTTTTTAAATGAAAATTTTATTTTAAATATAATTTACCAAGGCATTGAAATATGTTGAAAATTTACATTTTTATGTAAAATAAATTTATTGGCAAATTTTTTTTTTGAAAATAAAATTACAAAAAACCAAAATGATAAATTAAATTTGTACACATTGAAAAAATTTTATTTATTATTCAATTAATCGATTACTTTTCCAATTTATCAACTAAATATTTATTTGAACCAAATAAATTTTCATTGAACTATATAATTTTTATTTAAACCAAATAAATATTCTTTTTGAACTAAATAATTTTTATTTTCATCAAATAAATTATATTCGAATCAATAAATTCTGTATTTAAAATAAATATACCAATTGTCTGAAAAAATAATAATTTGATATTTGATAAAATAATAGTAAGAAAAAAAAAATTACTCTATTATTAGATGATTCGAATCGAAAATTTTTTTTTTCTCAATGAAATTTCGGGTAAAATAAACGAAACAAAAAGTTGAATTCATCTTCGCGAAATTAATATATATTTTTTTTTTGTAATACTACCCAGAAATGAAAGACAATTTAGATAAACAGAAAATAATACACAAGAGACAAAAAAAAAAATTTTTCACTACAGAAAATGATTTTTAAAAGAAAATTTTAAGCATACAATAAATTATAAAATTTTGGCAAAAAAATAAATATCAAAAATTTTAAATATTTTTACCAGCAAGACGATTCATGGCACTTCGAAGTTCCCAATGATCAATATCTTTACGTTCGAAATATTGAATAAATTCTGCATCAACTTCCTCGTCAGTCATTACTTTGCCATGAGATGATCTGACAGTCATTACACGAGGTTGAATTGCTTGTTTTGCCGCAGCAAGCATTCTTCCAGCAACAATTCGTAACATTTTGATTTTTTATTAAAGATTGTAACAAATTTTCTTTTTAAATAAAAAAGAAAATCAACCCTTTGCCGACTATACTTATTGCGTAAACGACAAGAAAAGAAATTATTTCAAGGTATCGCACTATTAAGGTCTATTACACAACACCATAGTGTTATAAATAGTACAGGTTAGATCAGAGTTGGGTAAGGACAACAATAACCTGTGATATTTTACCGTGGAACGTCTCAAATATTGCGAAATGAAGAATAAAGCTCAACCAATCAAAATAAAACATAGATATTTTTTGGACTTGTTAAAAAATAGTTAGCTAATCAAAACATGATATTTGGTAAAAATTCATTTTCATTGGCTGTGAATTTTTTAAGGGAATATTGTATAGGGAATTTTGAAAACTTGATGTAAAATCCCTATTTGATTGCCGAAAAGTCTTCACGTGTATTTTCACATTGTTTTTCGTTGTGTAGTTTTTGTGAAGTCTTTTAATTTTCTGAATAAAAAGTGAAAATGGTGAGTAAATTTAATTTTTATCGATTTACTTTTTCTAATTAACGCAAAAAAATTGAACCTTAATGATAGTGTATAAAATTTATATTGTAAAAAAGAAATATAAGAATCCTAACCTCAAAAACAGCTGGAATGTGAATATTGAATGACATTTTGCTATCAAGTGTATTAGAATTTTATTTTATATTAAAAAATGTCTATTTTTTTAAAATTACATACTGTTTTTTTTTCGAAAATTGGATCAATTTACGCAGAAATATTTTTGAATTCCGAATTTTTATAACGTAAATTTTTAAATCGATATTTTTTATTGGTTTCAATTCAAATGTTTACAACGTTTTTTTTTGTCAATGATTATAAGTGTTTTGAATATAATTTTTGGGACAATTATTTTTAATATTTCGAAAATTTGCTTTTAATTTTTCTTTAATAATCCATCGTTTCGAAGATTTAAAGATAATAAAGTGTGATTTTATTTTAATTTTTGAAAAAAAGGAGATTTAATATTTAAAACGCTAAATTTTATTTAAATAAATTTAAAAATTAAGCAGTTTCCTGTTATTTATATTTTATATTATTATTATTTATTTATATATATTTTTTTTTACTATTTAATTATATTTTTGAATGTAAATTAACTTTCTAGAAATTAAATAATTTTTTCGTACATAGAATTACAGAATTTTAATGTTAAAATAATAACGGCAAAAATTAGAATATCGAATAATTTAAATTAAAAATATTTTTTTTAATGAAACTTAAAAAATAAAATGCCTAAAGCTCTCTTTTTTATTTTTCCAATTCAATCAAAATAAATTGATTAATTAATATGTCGATATATAGATTTTATCTAAATTTATAATTGTAGAATGAAATTTATTTTTTTTAAATATTTTTTTATTAATTTGTTTTTATTTTTTAAAAATAAAATTCTTTTTTTAATCATCTATTTTTTTTAATAAATCAAAATCTCTATTCTTAATTAGATACATAAAATAATCGTAAAATTAATACTTTTATTCTGTTATATTTAAATAGTTTAATAATACAAATAATTAATTATTTTAATTTAATAAAATTACGTTAATAAAAATATATATTTCTAATTCTTTCTTACCGACTGATGGTAAAACAGTATTTTGGATAATAAAATATAAAAAAAATTACCGACATAGAAATCTACCTTACCGACTGATAGTAAAAATTACTAAAAATTTCCTCAAAATTTTTTACCACCAGTCGGTAAGGTAAATTTCTAGGTCGGTAATTTTTTATATTCCCATTTTCAAAATACTGTTTTACCATCAGTCGGTAAGGTAAATTTCTATGTCGGTAATTTTCAATGTTCTCTTTTTAAAAATATTGTTTTACCTTAAGTTGGTAATGTAAATTTCTATGTCGATCATATTTATAGTCTGATTTTAAAAATTCTGTTTTGACATCAGTCGGTAAGGTAGATTTCTATGTCGGTAAATTCTTATATTTACAGTTCGAAAAACTTACCATCCGTCGGTAAGGTAGATTTTTATGTCGGCAAACAGTATTTTAAAAAATAAAAAATCGTTACGTAATTTGTGAACGCTCCCTTATCGACGGTTAGCAATTTTTAAGAAATGAAAATATAAGAAATTGCCGATATAGTAATCTACCTTATTGACTGATGATAAAAAAAGTATTTTGAAAAATAAGAATATAAAAAATACCGACATAAAAATCTACCTTACCGACTGATGTTAAAAAAATTCATTAAATTTCCTAAAAAATGTACTATAAGTCGGTAAGGTAAATGTCTATGTCGGCTATTTTTTATTTTTTAAAATACTGTTTGCCGACACAGAAATCTACCTTATCGACGGATAGCAATTTTTAAGAAATGAAATTATAAGAATTTACCGACATAGAAATCTATCTTACCGACTGATGATATAAAAGTATTTTGAAAAATGAGAATATAAAAAATACCGACATAGAAATCTTCCCTACCAACTGATGTTAAAAAAATTCATTAAATTTCCTAAAAAATTTACTATAAGTCGGTAAGGTAGATTTCTATGTCGGTATTTTTTATATTCTCATTTTTCAAAATACTTTTTTATCATCAGTCGGTAAGATAGATTTCTATTTCGGTAAATTCTTATAATTTCATTTCTTAAAAATTGCTATCCGTCGATAAGGTAGATTTCTGTGTCGACAAACAGTATTTTAAAAAATAAAAAATCGCCGACATAGATATCTTCCCTACCGACTGATGTTAAAAAATTCATAAAATTTCTTTAAAATTTTCACTATAAGTCGGTAAGGTAGATTTCTATGTCGGTATTTTTTATATTCTTATTTTTCAAAATACTTTTTTTTATCATCAGTCAGTAAGGTAGATTACTATATCGGCAATTTCTTATATTTTCATTTCTTAAAAATTGCTAACCGTCGATAAGGAAGCGTTCACAAATTACGTAACGATTTTTTTTTATTAATTTTGACCCCCCCCCTCCCCATGTAACACGTTCTTGCATACATTAGCGCCATTTTTTCTGCTGTCCGAAACAAAGTGCTTAACCCCCCCCCTCCCCCAAAAAGTGTTACGTAATTTTTGAACGCTCCCTAAGGTAGATTTCTGTGTCGGTATTTTTTTTATATTTTTCAAAAATTTTACCATTAGTCGGTAAGGTAGATTTCTAGGTCGGTAATTTTTTATATTTTTTATTTTTCAAATTAATTAATGTTAATTTTTTAACCATCTATGTATTTAACTATGAAATTTCTTCCAAAGTTTTAATTATTTTTTTGAATTTTCAAAATAATTATAAAATTTTAATTTCTTTTAATCATTGAATTATTATGTATTACGGGGAGTTGTGTTTTATTTATTTATTTACATTTCAACGTTTTAATAACTAGATAAATAAATATTTTAAATAAATTTGAAATAATTTATCATTTTCAATAAAAATGTGAATTATTTAAATTTTAGGGAACCGAAAGAAAGGGTACATTTAAAGTTGAATATCTTCAGGCAATTGAAAAAAATATACAAGCCACATGGGAAAATGAAAAAGTCTATGAACAAAATGCCCCATTATCGGCTGATGGTAGAAAAGCAGATTCCAAATTTATGGCAACATTTCCATTTCCCTATATGAATGGTCGTCTTCATTTGGGTCATTCATTTTCCCTATCAAAATGTGAATTTGCCATACGCTATCAACGTCTTCTTGGTAAACATTGTTTATTTCCATTTGGTTTACATTGCACTGGTATGCCAATAAAAGCATGTGCCGATAAATTAAAAAGAGAAATTGAACTTTATGGTAATCCACCAAAATTTCCAAAAGATGAAATCCCCATTGAAGATAAAGACGACGATATTGTTATTAAAGATAAGAGTAAGGGTAAAAAAAGTAAAGCTGTCGCTAAAACTGCAAGTCTTAAATATCAATGGCAAATAATGCGTAGTTTAGGTTTATCAGATGATGAAATTTGTAAATTTGCCGATGAAAATTATTGGCTTGAATATTTTCCACCGTTAGCAGTTAATGATTTAAAATCACTTGGTATTGCCGTTGATTGGCGACGAATTTTCATAACAACCGATATTAATCCATTTTTTGATTCATTTGTCCGTTGGCAATTTCAACATCTTAAGGAGAGAAATAAAATTAAATATGGCAAACGTCATACAATTTATTCGCCAAAAGATCAACAACCTTGTATGGATCATGATCGTGGTAGTGGCGAAGGTGTTGGACCACAAGAATATACATTAATAAAAATGAAACTCATTGCACCGTATCCAAAAAAATTATCAAATATTTCAAATGAAAATATATTTCTTGTCGCCGCTACATTACGACCTGAAACAATGTATGGACAAACAAATTGTTGGATTCATCCTGAAATGCGTTATATTGCTTATAAATTATCAAATAATGATATTTTTATTTCAACTGAAAGAGCAGCTCGTAATATGTCGTATCAGGAATTTTTTAAAATTGAGGGTAAAATTGATATTGTTGCCGAATTAGTGGGACAAGATATTATGGGATTATCCCTTGAGGCTCCGCTGACAACAAATAAAATTATTTACACTCTACCAATGTTGACAATTAAAGAAGATAAAGGAACGGGAATTGTCACATCGGTACCAAGTGATTCACCCGATGATTATGCAGCGTTGGTCGATCTCAAGAAAAAGCAACCGTTCCGTGAAAAATATGGAATTAAAGATGAAATGATTTTGCCCTATGAACCAATACCAATAATAGAAGTTCCTGAATTTGGTAATTTATCCGCTGTTACTGTATACAATCAATTGAAAATTCAATCACAAAATGATCGTATTAAATTAAATGAGGCAAAAGAAATGGTTTATTTAAAAGGATTTTACGATGGTGTACTATTGGTGGGACCACATAAGGGTAAAAAAGTTCAGGACGTTAAGAAAATATTGCAAAATAATTTAATTGACAAGAAAAATGCTGTTATTTATTATGAACCAGAGAAAACAGTTACATCAAGATCGGGTGATGAATGCGTTGTTGCACTTTGTAATCAATGGTATTTAAATTATGGTGAAGCAAAATGGAAAGCAGAAACTGAAAAAGCATTGGCTAATATTGAAACATTTCACGAGGAAGTGAGAAGAAATTTTACACATTGTCTCAATTGGCTTCATGAATATGCTTGTTCACGTACCTATGGACTTGGATCACGACTTCCTTGGGAGGAAGAATGGCTAATAGAATCTCTTTCTGATTCGACAATTTACATGGCTTATTACACTGTAGCGCATTATCTTCAAGGCAATAGTTTTAAAGGCGACAAGGAAAATGAACTGGGAATCAAGTGAGTATTTCTTTCGAAAAAAATTCCAAATCTTTCCGATTTTTAATTTTGTTTTCCTTCTTTAAAGACCGGAACAAATGACACGCGAAGTTTGGGATTACATCTTCTTTAAAGATGCAAAACTACCAAAAACAACGATAAAAAAAGAAGCACTACGTTTATTGAGAACGGAATTTCAATATTGGTATCCAGTTGATCTTCGTGTATCGGGTAAAGATTTAGTACAAAATCATTTGACATTCTATCTTTACAATCATACGGCAATTTGGCCAAATCAACCTGAAATGTGGCCACAAGCAATTCGAGCAAATGGACATTTACTTCTGAATTCATCTAAGGTTTTTTATCTTCTCTATTTTATTGTTCAATATTTTTTTTTTTTTGTCAAATTTTGTTTTTTTAAATTAAAAATTTTAGATGGCAAAATCAGATGGTAATTTCTTGACATTATCAGAGGCGATAGAAAAATTCTCAGCTGATGGAACAAGATTTTGTCTCGCCGATGCTGGCGATTCAATTGAGGATGCAAATTTTGTTGAATCAATGGCCGATGCAGGAATTTTAAGACTATATACATTTATTGAATGGGTGAAAGAAGTAATTGAGACTAAAGATTTATTTAGAAAAGGAACTCCAAAAACATTTCATGATATAGTTTTTGAAAGGTAAGAATAAAAAAAAAATTTCTCAATAATTGGATTTTTACAAAAAAATAAACTTAATTTAATTTTCTGTTACAGTGAAATAAATCTAAAAATTCAAGAGACTGGTGAAAATTTTTCGAAAATGTTATATAAAGAAGCGTTGAGAACGGGATTTTTTGAACTTCAAGCTGCAAGGGATAAATATATGCAATTAAGTGCAGCAGATAAAGTAAATTGGCAATTAATAATGAAATATATTGAAGTTCAAGTACTACTTTTGTTGCCAATTTGTCCCCATGTTGGGGAACACGTATGGAAATTGATTGAAAAGGTATTAAAAATTTTTTTTAATTAATTTTGCTTCCTCGTGGAGGAAGCTTTGTAGTCCTTTCGTTTATAAAACTTTTCAAAGTGGCGGAAACAAATTTTTTTCTTTATAGAAACATGTTATATGAGATCCTGATCAATTGTCCGGATGTATGTATGTGTGTGTGTGTGTGGATCCCTTTTTTGTTTAGAAGATAACTTTAACAGGTTTTAATGGATTTAGATAAAATTTAGTAGGCTCATTTATCATATTAATATCTCAAATCTGACCAAAGGATTTTTAAAAATACCTCAAAAAAAAATTTTTATCGTCTTTTTTTCAAAAATTTTTTTTGGCGGTATTCCCGAACGATTATCTCGCGAATTTAATTTTTCCAAAATATTTTTGAGTGTAGCTCAGCATCCGCTGGACCAATCAAAAAGTGCGCCATACATTTTTTGTTCGCTACTTTTTGCTAAAGAATTTGGCGGTATTCCCGAACGATTATCTCGCGAATTTAATTTTTCGAAAATTTTTCCGAAATATTTTTGAGTGTAGCTCAGCATCCGCTGGACCAATCAAAAAGTCCGCCATACATTTTTTGTTCGAAACTTTTTCCCTATTTTATTGGTGGTATTCCCGAACGATTATCTCGCGAATTAAGTTTTTCGAAAATTTTTCCGAATTTGTTTTCTAGTTTAGCTCAGCATCCGCTGGACCAATCAAAAAGTGCGCCATATATTTTTTGTTCACTACTTTTTGCTAAAGAATTTGGCGGTATTCCCGAACGATTATCTCGCGTATTAAGTTTTTCGAAAATTTTTCCGAATTTGTTTTCTAGTTTAGCTCAGCATCCGCTGGACCAATCAAAAAGTGCGCCATACATTTTTTGTTCGCTACTTTTTGCTAAAGAATTTGGCGGTATTCCTGAACGATTGTCTCGCGAATTTAATTTTTCAAAAATTTTTCCAAAATATTTTTGAGTGTGGCTCAGCATCCGCTGGACCAATCAAAAAGTACGCCATACATTTTTTGTTCGAAACTTTTTCCCTATTTTATTGGTGGTATTCCCGAACGATTATATCGCGAATTTAATTTTTCGAAAATTTTTCCGAGTTTGTTTTCTAGTTTAGCTCAGCATCCGGTGGACCAATCAAAAAGTGCGCCATACATTTTTTGTTCAGAACATTCTTCTTATCACTATGGCGGTATTCCCGAACGATTATCTCGCGAATTAAGTTTTTCGAAAATTTTTCCGAATTTGTTTTCTTGTTTAGCTCAGCGTCCGCTGGACCAATCAAAAAGTGCGCCATACATTTTTTGTTCGCTACTTTTTGCTAAAGAATTTGGCGGTATTCCCGAACAATTATCTCGCGAATTTAATTTTTCAAAAATTTTTCCAAAATATTTTTGAGTGTAGCTCAGCATCCGCTGGACCAATCAAAAAGTGCGCCATACATTTTTTGTTCAGAACTTTCTTCTAATCACTATGGCGGTATTCCCGAACGATTATCTCGCGAATTAAGTTTTTCGAAAATTTTTCCGAATTTGTTTTCTAGTTTAGCTCAGCATCCGCTGGACCAATCAAAAAGTGCGCCATACATTTTTTGTTCGCTACTTTTTGCTAAAGAATTTGGCGGTATTCCTGAACGATTGTCTCGCGAATTAAGTTTTTCGAAAATTTTTTCGAATTTGTTTTCTAGTTTAGCTCAGCGTCCGCTGGACCAATCAAAAAGTGCGCCATACATTTTTTGTTCGCTACTTTTTGCTAAAGAATTTGGCGGTATTCCCGAACAATTATCTCGCGAATTTAATTTTTCAAAAATTTTTCCAAAATATTTTTGAGTGTAGCTCAGCATCCGCTGGACCAATCAAAAAGTGCGCCATACATTTTTTGTTCAGAACTTTCTTCTAATCACTATGGCGGTATTCCCGAACGATTATCTCGCGAATTAAGTTTTTCGAAAATTTTTCCGAATTTGTTTTCTAGTTTAGCTCAGCATCCGCTGGACCAATCAAAAAGTCCGCCATACATTTTTTGTTCGAAACTTTTTCCCTATTTTTTTGGTGGTATTCCCGAACGATTATCACGCGAATTAAGTTTTTCGAAAATTTTTCCGAATTTGTTTTCTAGTTTAGCTCAGCATCCGCTGGACCAATCAAAAAGTGCGCCATACATTTTTTGTTCGCTACTTTTTGCTAAAGAATTTAACGGTATTCCTGAACGATTGTCTCGCGAATTTAATTTTTCAAAAATTTTTCCAAAATATTTTTGAGTGTGGCTCAGCATCCGCTGGACCAATCAAAAAGTACGCCATACATTTTTTGTTCGAAACTTTTTCCCTATTTTATTGGTGGTATTCCCGAACGATTATCTCGCGAATTTAATTTTTCGAAAATTTTTCAAAAACATTTTTGAGTGTAGCTCAGCATCCGCTGGACCAATCAAAAAGTGCGCCATACATTTTTTGTTCGCTACTTTTTGCTAAAGAATTTGGCGGTATTCCCGAACGATTATCTCGCGAATTTAATTTTTCAAAAATTTTTCCGAATTTGTTTTCTAGTTTAGCTCAGCATCCGCTGGACCAATCAAAAAGTGCGCCATACATTTTTTGTTTGCTACTTTTTGCTAAAGAATTTGGCGGTATTCCCGAACGATTATCTCGCGAATTTAATTTTTCGAAAATTTTTCCGAAATTTTTTTGAGTGTAGCTCAGCATCCGCTGGACCAATCAAAAAGTGCGCCATACATTTTTTGTTCAGAACTTTCTTCTAATCACTATGGCGGTATTCCCGAACGATTATCTCGCGAATTAAGTTTTTCGAAAATTTTTCCGAATTTGTTTTCTAGTTTAGCTCAGCATCCGCTGGACCAATCAAAAAGTGCGCCATACATTTTTTGTTCGCTACTTTTTGCTAAAGAATTTGGCGGTATTCCCGAACGATTATCTCGCGAATTTAATTTTTCGAAAATTTTTCCGAAATATTTTTGAGTGTAGCTCAGCATCCGCTGCACCAATCAAAAAGTCCGCCATACATTTTTTGTTCGAAACTTTTTCCCTATTTTATTGGTGGTATTCCCGAACGATTATCTCGCGAATTAAGTTTTTCGAAAATTTTTCCGAATTTGTTTTCTAGTTTAGCTCAGCATCCGCTGGACCAATCAAAAAGTCCGCCATACATTTTTTGTTCGAAACTTTTTCCCTATTTTATTGGTGGTATTCCCGAACGATTATCACGCGAATTTAATTTTTCGAAAATTTTTCCAAAATATTTTTGAGTGTAGCTCAGCATCCGCTGGACCAATCAAAAAGTGCGCCATACATTTTTTGTTCAGAACTTTCTTCTAATCACTATGGCGGTATTCCCGAACGATTATCTCGCGAATTAAGTTTTTCGAAAATTTTTCCGAATTTGTTTTCTAGTTTAGCTCAGCATCCGCTGGACCAATCAAAAAGTGCGCCATACATTTTTTGTTCGCTACTTTTTGCTAAAGAATTTAACGGTATTCCTGAACGATTGTCTCGCGAATTTAATTTTTCAAAAATTTTTCCAAAATATTTTTGAGTGTGGCTCAGCATCCGCTGGACCAATCAAAAAGTACGCCATACATTTTTTGTTCGAAACTTTTTCCCTATTTTATTGGTGGTATTCCCGAACGATTATCTCGCGAATTTAATTTTTCGAAAATTTTTCAAAAACATTTTTGAGTGTAGCTCAGCATCCGCTGGACCAATCAAAAAGTGCGCCATACATTTTTTGTTCGCTACTTTTTGCTAAAGAATTTGGCGGTATTCCCGAACGATTATCTCGCGAATTTAATTTTTCGAAAATTTTTCCGAATTTGTTTTCTAGTTTAGCTCAGCATCCGCTGGACCAATCAAAAAGTGCGCCATACATTTTTTGTTCGCTACTTTTTGCTAAAGAATTTGGCGGTATTCCCGAACGATTATCTCGCGAATTTAATTTTTCGAAAATTTTTCCGAAATATTTTTGAGTGTAGCTCAGCATCCGCTGGACCAATCAAAAAGTCCGCCATACATTTTTTGTTCGAAACTTTTTCCCTATTTTATTGGTGGTTTTCCCGAACGATTATCTCGCGAATTAAGTTTTTCGAAAATTTTTCCGAATTTGTTTTCTAGTTTAGCTCAGCATCCGCTGGACCAATCAAAAAGTGCGCCATACATTTTTTGTTCGCTACTTTTTGCTAAAGAATTTGGCGGTATTCCCGAACGATTATCTCGCGAATTAAGTTTTTCGAAAATTTTTCCGAATTTGTTTTCTAGTTTAGCTCAGCATCCGCTGGACCAATCAAAAAGTCCGCCATACATTTTTTGTTCGAAACTTTTTCCCTATTTTTTTGGTGGTATTCCCGAACGATTATCACGCGAATTAAGTTTTTCGAAAATTTTTCCGAATTTGTTTTCTAGTTTAGCTCAGCATCCGCTGGACCAATCAAAAAGTGCGCCATACATTTTTTGTTCGCTACTTTTTGCTAAAGAATTTAACGGTATTCCTGAACGATTGTCTCGCGAATTTAATTTTTCGAAAATTTTTCCAAAATATTTTTGAGTGTGGCTCAGCATCCGCTGGACCAATCAAAAAGTACGCCATACATTTTTTGTTCGAAACTTTTTCCCTATTTTATTGGTGGTATTCCCGAACGATTATCTCGCGAATTTAATTTTTCGAAAATTTTTCAAAAACATTTTTGAGTGTAGCTCAGCATCCGCTGGACCAATCAAAAAGTGCGCCATACATTTTTTGTTCGCTACTTTTTGCTAAAGAATTTGGCGGTATTCCCGAACGATTATCTCGCGAATTTAATTTTTCAAAAATTTTTCCGAATTTGTTTTCTAGTTTAGCTCAGCATCCGCTGGACCAATCAAAAAGTGCGCCATACATTTTTTGTTTGCTACTTTTTGCTAAAGAATTTGGCGGTATTCCCGAACGATTATCTCGCGAATTTAATTTTTCGAAAATTTTTCCGAAATTTTTTTGAGTGTAGCTCAGCATCCGCTGGA